AAGTCGAAAAGAATGGACCCTGGCCGCACCCTCTTTACATAGTTTCTATCTAAAACAAAAGTCGAAACTCGAACGAAACTCCCCATAAATTTCGTAACATCGTTTCCGGTTCTTTCTTTTCTCGAATTAAAACTTTCCCTCCATTCATCTAAAGAAGAATTTTATTATTAAAGACGTGACTACGACAACACAGAATAAAATGTTAACCAATTGGAAACACACCTGTGATTTTATGAATCCCACAAATGGGTTTATTAGGGGCAAAACCGATTTATAACTTTTACTTTTATTCCAGTCTATTATTATTTCTTTAACGTTTACTACAATATAATCTAGTTTATTGACACTTAATAAATTTAGAATACATACGTCATTAAGTTTATTCCTTTCGTGTCTTATAGTTTTTTTTAAATAATAAGTAACTCTTCATATTTTAAACGGTTTCCCCCCCCTCTTTTTTAAACTTTACACGTCTTTTAATCAGATTATTCGTACAAAAGAAAGCCATGGCTTTGTATATGACCCAGAAACCTTTACTTTCTTTCAGAGCTTTCTTTAATAATAATTATATACTATATTTTCTCATATTTTAAATGTTCTACTACATTAAAACATCTCGAGAGTCTATTTTTAAATAATAAATTATCATGTTAAATCTACTTTATCATAAGAACTGACACGGTGTAATTACTTTGACGAAGGTAATGGTGAAATCAATGTTTAGTTAAAGTAATTCTTGTGCAATAACTTGTATTGAAACATGAAAATTAAAGGATTTTTCTCCATTGTCTTCGAATAAAATACATTTAGAAAGACGTAACCTAGCATTTATAAATAATTCTAGGTTAATCCAAAAGTAATCATCCGGATCCGTGACATCGCCGACAATTTTAGCATCGTTCGAAGCTCACAAATTATTACAATCTTAAGTTTTCTACTTTGTTGACTTTGCATACTTGGCTGACGTTTAAGTTTATAATTAAACACAAAAAAATATTATAAAGTCGAGTTCTATACGGAGTAACCCTATGGCATGATATAAAATTTGGAATATTTTATTTAAATTTGGAATTATATATAAAATAGTATAATTTAAGAAAAGAGACAATTAATTCACATGGAAGAATAACTAAGAGATGTAATTCCAACACGAAAACGTGAGTCAACGTTTGAACAGACGGAAGAAGAAACAACCAAACTAGTTAAATTAACATTGAAAAAGCTGGTAAGAATAACACAGGATCGTATATAATACACCAACACAGCTGAAATTACTAAACAGGAATGAAATACATCCGTCTAATTCAATTCTAAAGGGGGATGTTTTTTTATACTTTGTCCCGAAAATACTACGAATAATTTTTTGAAATTTCAAATTACCATGACTTTATTCAATTAAATTGTAAGTATAATTTTTCTGTCGTTTCGTGGGTGTTGCAAATACATTTTTTTTATTGTTTTTTTTTTTATTCATTGAATTTTGAAATTCTCACGAAACACGACGTAATTTTCATCGTTACTCAATACAAACGATGTAAATTACTATTTCGTACTTCGATCTCCGACCAACGTTGAGAGATCAGAATCCGAAGTTGTATAAAATACTTAATAAGAAACTATAGCCCATTGATCTGTAAATAAACAATTAACTCTTTCCTCCTATGGGCCTCTTCTTTTTTTTAAGGGTTCGTCCAGGCCAACGATGTGGTAGCGATAACCCCCCCGAAAAATACGTGGGGTTTATCCAACACCTTTTATAATAGTTAAAGTATAAAAAGCTTTTTTTTTTAACAAAATATGATAATAGATGACGCCACCCACAAAATTTTAAATGTTGCCGGGAAAGTTGGGCAACTCGTTGCTAGTTCTTCGGTGCATAATGGAAATTTTATTACGAAAATGTCTTCTGCGTGGCCCGAAATGTAGCATATTTGGTTCCATTTGAATTATTAAATATATCTTTAAACAATGCTGAATAGAGTTACACTTAATACACAGGAAGCAAATCATAAATTGCAAAAAAATAAAAAAAAAATATAATGAAAACTCATCATGATTCACATTTATTGAAATTTCAAAAATTGGTAATTGGTCTATACACAGACGTGATTATTATAGCACGTGGAAAGGAAACGGGTGTTTTCCCCCCCTTAGAAATTGTACAATTCTACATAAAAAAAAATACCACCATTCGACTTTTTGAATAGAAAATTTCATTTAAAACTGCGATTGAAATACGAAATAAGTACAAACAATAATAATAATACTCTAATATAATTATCTACGTGGATACAGTCAGCACTTATTTAGCACAACAATCTAATTTGATATTATCAATATTATTGCTTTCTAACAGGAAAATAATTATACGATTTATGAATTAAATTGTTTTCTAGAAAACGATTATTGTTAATGTATAATTTTAAAGGTTCTTTTATATACTGTAAAAATTCCTGGTAATAGAACGTGAATACACTATGACTGTTTTGTATTCTCTCTTATATAATGAAAAGAGTGGGTGAACAATACATATTTCTGTTACATTAATCTTTCGTATCTACTGTAAATAGGGGAAGTACTTTTGTGGAAATAATCGATATCGTTATATCTGCTAAAACGGGGTTTAAACCTATAAATTCCCACTGTCCACAGTCTGTCCTTTGTGTTCGTTAACATAAACCAGTAGTCTGTTTCTTCTCAGACACGGAGACGATGGTTTATTTTTCTCTTTTATACAAAAATGTATATATATAAATCAGCATTCCCAGTAGTTAAAAACTTCAGACATTACATTCTTTCCCTTATATGGTCGAAATAATAGACTTAAGAATGCGATTTGACTCACAAGGGCAGCTATTTGACGATGAAATCACCGTCAGATTGACCTCAAGATGAACAACCTTGTTGGTCTCATTATCTGTTTATGCTGATAATCATTTTAAGAATACAATTAAATCATTTCCAGGTAGGAGGTTCGTGTCTTCTGATTACAAGTATGTAAGCATCACCCATTTATTAAGTATAACTTCAATCTGAAATAAGCAAAGATTAGAAAAGTCAGTGAAGATCGAAAAGACTGTTCAAATTTGTGATACGTATTCTGGGGCCATACAAAAATATACTAATTAGAAGCAACAGGAAGTGGATCAATCAGTTGACACAGCCATAAGCCTACAAAGATACCAGAGAAGAAACTTGTGGACTGACTGAAGCTGTCATCTTCCCTACAGAAGGTGAAGAATAATAAGTTCTAAGGAAGTGTCTAGTGTTGCAGGTGTTTAGTCCAGTGTTGGGGATATTTAAGAGGAAGACAACAACAGTGGCTAAGAGAACTCGGAAATGACATATTTTTTCATGCAAAAAGAACTAAGAGGAAAAAACTTTCTGGGAAAAACAGCATATGCCAATTACCAAAAATTTATTTTTTCTAAGGTCCTGTCAAAGACAACATTCTGGCAATATACCAAAACCTTCAGAATAGCTCACTGTTGCATATCTTTTGATAATGTCCATGTGCAATGCAATTTAATAGAAATAGTTTTTTTTCAATTTTCTCAACAGTATGTATTTTTGACAGATGCTGTTTTCAAAAAAAGGCCTCAATTTAATTAGGCCTAACACTCTACATGCAATAAAATCATATTTCAAACTAACACATATCTCATTAGCAATGTGCTATCAGTGCTGGAACTAAGATAAATTTTAACTCGCATTATCAGAGATTTTATTCGTCTTGTTAACGCGATTTCCTATAATGCGGAACGCTGTACTAGAGTCTGGTGTATTTAAACTGTAATGAACAACTATTGCATAAAAGTTCATAGAGTTGTGTGTGTGTGTTAAATTCTTTGTCTTTACCTCAAGAATTAAAATGACCGCCATTTTTTAAAAAAATGCTGTATTCTCTGTATTGATATAATTTCCTTGTGATTTTGCTAGTTTTTTTGAGTTGTCAAGAATTGAAAAGGAGTTTAGACCCGAAATGCATACAAGAATGACAATTCAGTGATTAATTTTTCCATGTTCTTCTAAACACACATACTGTATGATAAGTCCTACATTTGTCAAGTTGTGAGATTTAAAAAGCATAACAATTGAATAGGACAAGAAGCTTTGAACACAATATTGTTGTTTCTTAATCCACTAGATCTATCCCCCTGTAAATTTTCTGACGATGCACCTGAATGCTGATATACCATAAATCTGAACAGTCCAGCTTGGTCATATGATCGATTTATTTACAAAGCCTTGGCATTCAGAGTTATAATTAAAGGAAGTTTATGCACCGTACTTATATGTGAGAGATAAACAGCTGACAAAAGTTACAGAATATTTACATGAAGAACCAACAGTATACCAGTTGTTACATAGAGGTGCAATGTACAATATACTAGGATCTCAAAGGTGTATAAAATACTTTGTGAGAAATCGTGTATCTATTAAAAGCATGAATACACAGTTATCTCGTGCTCCCTGTTGTCATGACTTTGAGTCCATGTAGCAGATATAGTCACAGGCCATATCTCAGGGTGAATGTGCATCAATTCCTGAAATTGGGGGTTTATTTAATGAAGCCTCTTTAATTCATTCTTATATGAGACACAGAAGATTTAGTCTCCAGAATAAGTAGAAATATATTGAGCAGAAAATGCAATGCATAAATTACAAAGACCGTAACCTTTATTTCCACAGCTTGGAAAGCTATGGTTGAATTATTATCACTTTGTTTCTATATTGTTTCTTGGAAAGTGGGCTGAGCTTGAAAGCCTATTGCTTGTACACTGGTGATGTGTATACAATTTCACATTCGTTACGCTGTCCATGGACAAGATATTTTGACGATGCATGGATAATCAAAAGTTTGGTGTATGTATATAAATTTGTATTTTACATTATTATTTTGGTTAGCTTATTGAATGATAAATTGATTTTTGCCTTTGCAAATTGCAGAAAAAAAGGACAAAAATATATAGACATATAATGAATTTAAAAAAATCATTAGTATAATACACAGAATTTTACAGGAAATAGTATTTAATATTATATACAAAGTACACATTGAAGATACACCATCAAGTGAAATCAAATTTCTTGTTATAAAACTAATACTTTAAGTTATTTTTAAATTTATTAATATTGAATGTTTCACTGTTTTCATGTTTTATATTATATTCAATTGCAACTAACCTACATAATAGTCAATATTTTGTGTCAGAAAAATTTTATATCAGCTTTATAAAATATTTATTATTGCACAAAGAAACTGTGACAATTAGTTTATTTAATTTCTCACGAGTTCTATAAATACACAACAACGTAATGTTACTCGTAAAGAAACTGACATGTAAATGGAAAAACAACATTCTAGCCAAGATACAAAACATCGTTCAAGTTATCTTGGCCGAAAAATGTTTATGTAAAAAAAGTCAAAAAGTACGTCCGTCTGGAGTACCCTTGGCTACGAGTCTACCACGCGACACGAAACACGATACGAATCGTTTTGATTTTCTCCCGGGAATAATGACATCCGGACGCGAGACGGTCGCTAGGAACAAGTTTACGAAAACAAGTTATCCTATAGATCTAGAAGGCTAGACGACAAAGATGGGAAGGAGGTAAGATACTGGCCGTCGAAATTTCGGTCTCTTTCTCTCTCTCACTTGCACTGGTCATGCTTGGATAGAAGTGCCTCCAATAGCCTTAGTCGTCCCTTGACGTGCTGAAAAATCAATAAGAAGGAGAAAACATTGATTATTGTGATTTACATACATTACCAAAATTAAATTAAATTCTTCTTACTTTGTATTCTCCATACAGTGCTTCCATGGGGATTTTATCCTCTTTCTGAATTTTCCTGTTTAGACATATAAATTTATTAATAATTCTAGACTTTATCTTTCCTATTAATTAAAACATTACAGGAAAATGCTTATTGGTGATTAAGGATTACATCATAAATGGCAAATGTATCAATAATATAAACACAATAATGGATTTTTATCAAAAAAAAAATACAGAAAAATGTATTTGAAATTTCTATTCATCTCTTCAAATCAAAATGGACAAATTTTTATAAAATTATTAAAACAAAATACTAAACAATTACTTACAATCTGTTCTGAATATAGAATATAAAATCAAACAAAAAACTGGATCAGGCATAACAAATTAACTTAAAAAGTTATGCACTGAAATCAAATGAAATGTTATTAATGGAAATGTAATGACAATTTTCTATGGAACAATGGTACAATTTAAATGAATCTTTAGTCTTCAACAAACAATTCCTCTTGCTTAGATAATGCAGTGATATGGTTAGGCACAGAGGCACTGTCTGCTATCCTGTGACAAATTTATCCACAGATGTTGCAACTGCTGATCCAGATCCCTCTCACTCATATATGGCTGAAGCTGTTGTATCATATGGTCCACAAATCTGCAATATCCTAATAAATTGCTGTAATGTGATAAGACATTCTTGAGAAACCCTAATGTTTGCAGTCCTGATATAAAAGACAGTATGTGAGGGTAAAGGATTTCCTGAATGTACTGTTCTGGTTTCGTTTGGTTTTATTTGATTACAGCAATGCAACACATTGGTGATCTGCCAAGGGGAATGTCTCCCGGAAGGTCTTTTATGGGAAACTGGTCCCTATTTAGGTGTTACTAACGTGAAGAAAACCTGGAAAACACCATGTGGCCAGCCAAAAACCCATAATCAACTACCAGTGTTTGGTGATTTTGTCCACTCGGCAACTGGTGGACACTATTGTTCTGTCAAGGTCCCCTGAACCACTACTTATCATTTTGTATGATAAGTCATTCCTATGACTTATCATACAAAATGGTTTCCTAAACTGATGCTGGTAACAAAACCAGTTTTTGGTAAACTGTGGTTTTAGCAAATATTGAAAACAGGAAACAAAAGTGGCATCATTATTATGGTATCATTTTGTTTAATTGACAATGTTTAGATTTAAGATGATTCCACATAACTGATGTAATGTTACATTGAAATTTTCTGGTAGTACAATATGTACATGATACCAATTTGCCATCCTTGAATAATGCTTGTTATTTTAAAGTCATGTTTAAATTTTAAAACTATAAAACCAGAAGGAATTAATTTTCATATCAAAATTAACATGAAGTTTTTAAATGCCAGCTTTTACAAACATCCAAGAAACACTGATCTCTTTTTGGCAGGAGTAAAATGATTACATGGCATAAGATTGTATAGCTGAAAGTGGCAAATTTTCTCTTCAAAGATCTTTTTATTCGAGCAAAACACAAATTCCACTTTTCTACATAATACCATTAATAACAGAAAGAGGTCCATTACAAACTCTAAGTGATTTGTCTTCAGTCATTGCCCATAAGCTTTAACAAAACAGTCAACAAGAAATTGTCCAAGATATGCTAAGATGGTTATTTTAATCCATCAAAAATTTTGTTCAAATATCATGCACTTTTTCAATATTATTTTGTCATCAGCAGATAGTCTTCCTTTCAAGTAGTACCCAATATTAGAATTAATTTGATTACTAGAGTCCAAAATATTATTTGTTGTCAAAAACAATTTAGTTTTGAACTGATTCTCATTTCTGTACTTGGAGTCAAACTTTGATGCATTCAAGTTGTTTTACAAAGTTCTGGAGTATCAACTTATTCAGTATTTCACTTAAGGCTGTAAAATTCCAAATCTGGCTACAACTTTGGACTGAAAACGTAAACCATTGTCTTGTAATTTTGATTTTGAATGGAAACTTCCATGTTTTAATTGATAAATTTTTCCACTCTGAAGTAATCTCAATCTCAGATCTGGTGGCCAGTTTTCTCAGGAATTCTTGTTTTACAAAACTTTAACAGCTCATCTTATAAACATATTTGGGTCATTTCTGAAGAGTGTATAGATGATTTTCTGGTATTCTAATGTATTCATAGTGGACATTTTAAATAATATATTCAAAACCCACAAACCACATTGTTCTTTGTTAGATATATATTTAACATATTACCAGCCAAAATTTCACACTGTTCTGTTCTAAACTCAAATTTTTCTAAACAGTTTTTATTCATTGCCATATTTTAGTCATACATTATTATTCCTGAATCTGGGCTTGTAATATTTACAATAATGCATTACTTTATTAATTATTGATTAATATTAATGTGTTTTTTATTATTTATTTTATTCTTCAGAATTCAAAGCAGTTTTTAAACCAGTTTGACATCTGGTATTCAACAAAACCGAATAATCTTGAGAATTTCTAGTTTTTGTCAGTATTACCCATGAGGTGTGTGGAGCAGTTTGCCACTCACAACAGAAAAGATGAAATTGAAGTGATCACCAATGCTCTTCCCCACTAACACAGTGGTTTGTGGGGAAGAGCATTTCAAGCAGAACTTGCTAAAGAAAATTATGTCGCCAGTCCATAGCAATCCTTGCTTCTCTACCATGGTACCACTACAAATGAAGTCAATGATGTTGAGATGGACATCATTGACAGGACATATAGATGTCATTATACAGGATGTTTTTCAAGTCTTGCCAGATTACAAAGTGCTGTATCATCCAGATGAAATGTCACATCACCATGAAATAACTTGTAAAATGTTACTTACACTTCAAAGTTTGATGGTGACTAATTGGAGGTCTGGCATTGAACAGCTGTATGTCACATACAGCTGTTCAATGCCAAATCTCCAATTGTGCTCCAGTGACATGCAAACACTCTTGCAGCTGTTCCTGGAATCCCAAAATTTCTCATTAATGATGTTTGTCTGGAATATCCTAAATAACAATATGAATTATTTCCTTTAGGTGATGAAAATTTTTAGGTTTTTCAGAATATATTTTCATTTTAACATTCTCCACAGCCAGAAGTTGCAACATGTCAAGTTGGGAGACCTTGTGGGTCAAGAAATGAGCCCCTTATGAAAAATCCATCACTTATCAAATTGTTCATCCAGATAACATCTCACCTGAAGGAACTCCATACATACTGTATTATACAATTTAAATTCAACAAACCACAGAACAATCTACACTTTCTCCCAAACAGTCTTTATCTTGAAAACAACTGAGTGTTTATTATTCAAGAGGTGATGATGTCAGTGTTGTCAATTCCAAAATTTTAAACTTTCATGCTTGTTTTACAAGTTATTTCATGGTGATGCAACATTTCATCTGAATGATATAGCATTTGGAATTCCAGAGGGACTTAAAAAACACCTTGTATATGCAATTTTACTTCTGCTAGTCACCTGCTAATGGTACAAGCAGAGACTGAGTGCTTTAACAAATCTTCCACCTGTATCTCTGGATATTGAACAAAGACACCATTACAAATGTTTATACTTGTCTGACAATCAATTATCTCTTCTTATGGTTTGTCTAGGACATCCAGAGCCTACCTGCCATATATGTGCACCCTAATGTATTCACTGTCCTCCCCATATCTTATAGTCGGATCAGAATTGCTTGAATGGCTGGCAATCATGTTCCAATGATGTGGCCTTTCTCAAACTCAGCCACTTGTAAATAATGTCTTTGCATCAAGTAGACAAGCCTAGTGTTTGAAGACTGAATGACAGTTATCCTGAAAATTCTGAACTCAGTGAACCCTTGCAAGCACTTTTTAGAATACCGAGGTGGCAATTTTAAGGCATGCAATCAGACCTGAACTGTAATCATTTACTGCAAAACTCTGCATACAGCTATCTGAGTGCATAGCTTTTTTGTCAATAAGAGTAGGAATAAAATTACAATACTTTATCTTACATCTTGATTATATCACAGTGAAATGCAATTTTCTTTATCTTTTACATGTCAAAAATCAAATATTCTCTTCTTTAATGAATTATCTTTCAATAAACTGAAATAGATAAATTCTCTACTTGAGTTATGTTTATTAATGAAAAAATTTGTGTTTAAAAATGTTTAATGTAGGATCATTGATTTAATAGTTTACTCTTTGAAATATTTTTTCTTACATTTTGAGATTTTAGTAAACCAAATTTCTGCAAAAATGTGCAATTAATTGAATCCTTTAATTTGCATGTATCCAATAACTTATGAAAAATCATCACCTGTATTTTCTTTGTTTCATTTACAATATATATTCATCCATTAGGGATAGTGCCATTTATTCTAACATGGTTATGCAGTTAGTAAAGTTTATCTCCAAGTATATCACAAATCTTTTTTAATTGATGAAATTACAATCACCAAACAGTTTTTACTTACTCTATTTTACTTGCTTTTGCTAGCTCATAGCTAAGTATTTTGGAATAAACTGCAAATTTTTACTTTTAAGAAATTATGGAAAAAGTTTGTCTTTATTTAAGAGATTTCGATTTATTCAGAATTTTCAGAAACCAGGTATATTTATTGATTAGAGTTGTTGTGTGTTTCCAAAACAATACACAGTACAATTAAATACTACTGTTGTAAATAACATTATATTAAAAAAAATTTAATCACACAAGAACCATACCTTCCAGTTTGTTGTTGAAATTCCTCTTCAAACTCCCTAAGAACCCTACGAAGTCTCCTTTTCTCAGATCGAGCTTGCTGTTGCTGATATAACAGTTCTGATCTGAAAAATTATTTTTAAAATGAACAAACTGTTCAGAAACATTTATATTAATTTTTTAAAAAGTTGACTTACAGTGGCAATTCATGCAGATTAGAACTATTGTATTTTGTCAACCATTCTGATGATATTTCCTGGGTAGAACTATTTGTAGATTCTTTACATTTATCATCGGTTTCTTTTGTTTCAAAAAAATCACTCTAAAATTTATATCATCAAGAATTAGAATATTTTCAGCATGATTAATTTTTAAATACTATAATACAGAAATATACATTTTATTAATGATATGTTTATTTTTATTATTAGTCACAATTTTTAATTAACCAATTTTAAAATTAATATTTTAAGTGATTATATATTAACATTTCAAACTATTGTAATGTTAATATATAATCACTTAAAATATTAATTTCATGACTAGAAATGATGCCAAATGAACACAATTTAATTGTCACTTATTGGATATTGATCTTCCTTTATAATTTTTTGGTAAATGGAATTTATTTAGAATTTATCTTAATGTTCTTTCCAAAATAGTCAATGAAAAAGAATTCTGGTGCCTAAAGAATAAATCACACATTTTTATATAAACAGAGTATCAAAGTAAGTTAAACTTTATAAATGTCACAACTCTGAAATTTAGTATGCCAATTTAGATTTATCAAAGATAACAGATTAAAATAAGTTACTTCAATGATTCTTTCAAACTATAAAATTAAATTTTATATTAAACTGTACACCAACCTTGGAAATACTTTTTGGAGATGTAAAATCCATAGCAACATGTTCCAGAATGGGTTGAAGTTCTGATCCAGAATCTTTGTTTTTGTTAACTAGAGAGTTTGAAGTGTTTGGTCTACCAAGAATTCGTTTCACACTGCGATAACGATCATACAGTGGTCTCATGATGTCTCTGTCCATTTTTGTGGTTGGTCTCCCATGTATGCTTTCTAGCTGCAACAGGGCCTTTTGAATTGCTATTTTTTCATCCATAACTTGTTCATTGGTCATATCCTATATAAGTTAAGAAACAATTATTTGATTAATAACTAGCCAGATAAATTCTATGATTTAAGGAGAAATATATTACTAAAACAGAATGCTTGATATTTTTAAATTGTTTAAGAAGTACTACTTTTTAATAAAAGAGTTATTTTCAATCTAGCAATAAGTTTGACGTTTAAAACCAATATAAAGTATCTATTTTAAATGATTTTTGCAAAGATATTGTATTACAGTAGAGTATTGTTTATCCAAAACGTCAGTTATCCGAAAGAATTCCAGTTGACAAATTTAAATTTTCACTAGTGCTGTGGCACTGCAATCTTTGGCTATGTCTTGGGCTACTCAATATTTTTTTTTGTTGGTGTGTGTGTTTTAACTGGCAGCACTGGCATTTTTGTGTGGTGTTTTTCTGAGGACTGTGTGTCGTGCTAAATCGAACATTTTTGATACTAGATTAACTTCTGAAGTAAAAAATTTTTTTTGTTTTTATATTTTCCAATATATTTATTTTGTTTGTACAAAATAAAGAAATAATTTTTAACGATACAATAGCCACAATTATTATTTTAAAAAGTTTACATTAGGCTTAACATTGACGAAAATTCAACACAAAGCAACATGCAACAGGGAAAAATTTCAGCATGAGATAGGTTAATATATTTTTTCATACATAATCAGTTATCCGAAAAATAAGTTATCCGAACAACCCCAGTCTCCAATTGATTTGGATAAACAACGCTCTACTGTATTTTAATTCATACCTCTACAAACTCAGGTCTATGAGCACATTTTCTCTTATCAGATAAATCTTTCAATGCTTCATCTAGAGATTCTTCTACAGAAGGTTTTAACTTGCTACAGGATTCACAAATCCCTCTACTATTTGTGGTATCTTCCAAAATATGTACATCTCTCGTTGGAAGCCAATGAGGTCTGACTGACGGTCCTCCTGATTCTAATGAATGGCTTTCTTCTTTTAATGCTAAATAAAAACATATTTTATATTAAGAAAAAACTAAATGCAAGCATTTCTAATGAGTGAGCTAAAGTGAAATATATTGACTCAAATATAGGTTGGTTTCCAATTACGGAATCCTTTTTGAAAAATTAGGACCCAAATATAAGTTGATTTTTTTATTATTAATTTTATTTGCATATACAAAACAAGCAATTTACATTAAACAATTTGGAAAGTCATTGAAACTTTGTCATTGTCATCATTCCTGCTTCCTATTCCATTGTCATCATGATGTCCTTGAACAGTATATCATCCTCTGTTCTGTCCATGTCTATAACACATTCCTTAAAGCTTTTTATTAGATTGTTGGAGAAGACACAATTATATTGTTATTCTAAGTTTTACAAGGATATGTGGAATTTTTATTATTTTTTTTACACAACTGACTATCAAAATTAGTTATATTCAATTCCATTTCTTTCTTTTCAAATTACTTTAGTTAAAAACATTTTTGAATTTGTACAGTCAACCACCCTATAATACTGTTAATAGTTCCGTTTTATATGAATTTCATGTTGTACGAGTCACTTAGATTTTACAAATATGTGTGCCGGGCTGGGAACGGCTTTTGTATTTACATATTTGTATTTACAAATCACATTTAAATCATACCTAACTGATTGGAAAATTGTACTCAAAGGGTTTGTTTTATAGAAAGAAATATATGCATTGAAGTCTAAAACATAATCATATCAAATACATAAGTTTACAATTACGATAGAATTTGATAGAAAAGCCAGGACAGTAAATACAAATTTAGAAAATTTATTAAAAAATATTTTCAAACAAAACAATACATTATTATCATCATTGTCTTATTCTTTCTACACACCTCAGGAAATAACAATAAAAATTTACACTTTACAACAAAATAAATTTCATTATAAATTTTTGACAACTTTTCCCAATTTTTATGGTCGCTCAATTAGTATAGACTCAGAGAAAAATAAAGTTACCAAAATAAAATTTCTGTAGAAGTTACCAAAACTGACTGATTCTGTTGAATACACTGACTAAACTAAGCCAAAGTAAAACACAATATGCTAATCAATTATTTACAATCATGCCAACACTCAACTCCTGCACATAATTTGTGGGCTCAGCATGATGGGTCACAACTTGGCTGGCATTTAACATCACTAAACAATTGACATATCAAATTTTAACATTAGTTTAACTTTCTACAATGTGTATCACATACAATTATTGAAATTGAAGGAAATTTTAATCAAGCTCAAATACAGGATGAGAATGATTTTTTATCCCCTTTACAACTGGGGAAAAACATGCCAATATGATATAATAAAATATTTCACTTTAGCTCATTCATTCATTCAGTAAAAATTTACATTCTCCAGTTAGATAGCTTGAATTAGAAATACATTGTACAGTAACAGTTAAAAACCAAACTATTAATACAAAATTTGGAAGATAATTTACCAAAATTTATATTTTATGGTCAATAATTAAATTATCTGTGATAACTTTGAAAATATCACTTTTGTATAATCATCAGAAACATAATGAATACAGAAATATTTATATTCAAATGAAAATTGCAGGTTTGAGTATAATTGTTTCTTTAAAACTACACATTCACCTTTGTTACTATGAAAATAACTTAACTTGAAATAATAACTACAATGTCTACTTAAAATTATATTTTGGTTATTATTATTATTATTATTATTACTATTATTACTTCTATTTCACATTTTTTATCAAGCTAAATATTAACCATTGAAAATTACTTAATTACTGATTTACAAGTAATTAAAAGAATTTTGTTACCTTTTAACTCTTTCCTTGCTTTATTCAAGTTAGTGATCAACTTCTTAATGTCAGGAAAATTCATTTTTTCCGCATGAGATGGCTGTAAGAAATAATCTTATGTTAATTTTTGTTATTGCTGAAAATAATCATTTGTAAATTATCATACTAAATTTGTTTTTATGTCATGTAAGTAGTGTGTAATATAATTTAGATATACAGCAAAAATATATTTATAACTTCAGTGGAAATTCAATTTTCCAAATTTTTTTAAAACAACATACCACTATAATATAATAAACAGAGACTAAACACTCAATGTAGCTGGAAATCATTACATTTGTCAATTGTAGCATTGCAAAACTCGATCATGCACTTAACATTATGCTAAATTAATTTACCTTCAAATATAGTAATTGAATTATAGTATTTATTGTTCATAAAACTTTAAATGTATAATACTTAATGTACCAAAAACACAAAAACAAGTTTCTGGATTTTGTGTTTTTGGATCTGAAATTTTGTTTATAGAAAGCCTCCCAGTCCCATCAAGTTCAGATAGTTGAGTTTCAACTGTATTAAAATTTCATAAAAATATTTATCATATTATTTCATCAAAAAAAGTTTTGAGAGTATTAAAGGAAATATTTTTATATCCTGGTAAGCAAAATTTCAAAATGCTGCATTGTAGAATGTCTAAGATTTTACAATTAAATTAGCATCAGCAAATATTAATTAGAAGGATAAAGTAATATTTTCAAGCCAGACTTAATATATAAAATATTTGGAAATTTTGAACTATATGTTCTTGATTCAGAAGACACTAAAGCTCCAAAAATATTCCCTAAATAAATAAATCTAAAATTCTAAAAATGAGACCATTGTGAAGACAATCATAAATGAATGCTGTCAGATAAATGGAAGTTTTTTGTTTCAGGTAATAAAGATTCATATTAGATTAATTTTCTTTGTAAACATTCAGGAAGTTTTAAATTTTTACTTAACTTATTTTGATGTTAACAAATCAATTTAGAATGCATTGATACAGTAGATATAAATATTGTCAATAACCGTTTATGAATATTATCACTTATCTGTTTACAATTGCAATTACTCTTTATTACAACAATTGAAAAGATTTTTTTAAATGTTACACACACACGTTTTCAATTGAGAAAATATTGTTTGTTGTCTGTTATAAATAAGCCATTATTTACAATTCTTTAAATTAATTCCAAACCAAAATTACATAAGTTATGAAAGAAATTTGCATTTATATATGAAAAAAGTCATATTTTACACTTAGTTACAGCAGAACAATATTGCTTCATTACATCATTAAACAATCCAGCAATAAGTTTCTCAACTTTCCCAGCAACATTTAAAATTTTGATCACGTCATCTGTTATATTTTATTAAAAAACTTTTTATATTTTTAACTATTATAAAATAGCAAAAAACCTTAATTCTAAGGATAGGATGGGTTTTATAAAAAATTGTAAATGCTAATAATGAGTAAAATTGTCATTAAGTCTAACTACTGGAGATACACATGACCCCATTATCTCCCCACCCTCTCAATCTTAAATCAACAAAATTTAATAGCATCAATCCACTACACAAATCTCCCTTTAAATTTCAGAAATTTTAGATAAAAAGTACAGGAGTTATTAAGCTTCAAACTGGGCAAACAAAATTATGCTCCCCCCACACACAAACTAATATCCATACATAAAGAAATTATTCCCAATTTTTTTGTATTTCTCATTTCAAGGTCCAAAAATGTAAAATCCTGGGGGGGGTCATTTTTTGACCAATCATACTTTTCCTCTGTTATGTATAACAGCTGGATAAGTAAACATAATAAAAAGTGTAGAATATTATATGTAGTTTAATTATAGATTTAACTTAAGTTTAAATTTTTTAAAATGTCATGCAACATGCTCTGTGAATCAGCCTGTTAATAATTTTACATTTATGATCATCACAGCAGAATCACAACTACATAAAATTATAATTAAGTCATTTTTATGGACATGTAAATAGCAAATCAATTTAAAAAATTTTAAAAAGCATTTGTAATAACTTGTTTTACTTACTCTGTATCCATGTTCTTCTTCGAATGCTTCATCAAACTGCTTTAATTTTTTCTTTAAACCTTAAAAAGTAGATAAGAATGTTCAAAATTTGTCATAAATTATTTTAGAATTTATCATTTACAGTATCAACTTATTACTATATAAATAACTTATTATATTTATACTTACTATGAATTTTCTTGTTTAACTGTTTAATGCTAGAATTAGCAGGATCTTCCTCTCTCATACTGAAATATAAAATAATAATTAGAATAATTTTAATATAACAATTTATAATAAATACATTATAACTTAGAGCTAACTTATTAAATAATTGTCTGATGGTTTGAATTAACAGTTTGTTGAATACCCAATTTCAATAAAAATATTCAAATTTTTTCAAATAACGAAGTATTTCAAATTATGTTAAAATGTATATTACTATGGTCAACACAGCACACAAAAACAAACACAATTAATTTTTCTCTTAAAAAAAAATACAGTCGACCCCCTATAACACTGTTGATTATTCCATTTTATATGAATTCCATGTTGTACGAGTCACTTAGATTTTACAAATACGTGAGCTGTTCACAGCCTGGCACACGTACATTTCATTTTTTTTTTTTTCATTGAGTAATCATCATTTCCCCTACTAGGGGATCAGAGTCCTCCCTGTCCCGCTATCGCACCACAGGGAAAACGTTTCTTTATTACAATGTTTCATTACAAACATGGCACACGTACAGTGATACCTCGACTTACGCTACCCCGACTTACACGAACTTGGAGTTACGCGATTTTCAAATCTCGATTCGTCTTTTGTTTGAGCACCACACACTCTTGATTACTCACTCCCCCCACACTATTGTTCGGCTTACATGCTCGGACGTGTCGCGCGGAATCGACACATAGCTACAATTTATTTTGTGTTATTTATTTCTGTGTTACTTCAGAGACTCTATATGGTGATTTCTTGTAACCATGAACGAATCAAATGATGAGATAAGATTAACGAGAACATTTATTAGCTTACATACATCTGACTTAGATTTTACACAAATTGCGAAACTATACCGCAACTTACGTAGTTATTGCTCGGTCCCACCTATCGTGTAAGTTTGAGGTATTACTGTATTTGTAAAATCTAAGTGACTCATACAACATGGAATTCATATAAAACGGAATAATCAACAGTGGTATAGGGGGGTCAACTGTAAATAAATAAATAAATAAAAATACTATGCATTTATAAATATAAAAATCTTGTATTGGGATAACGACTAACATATTCAATAAAATGATAATATAATAATTGAACTTACTTTAGATAGGACTCCCAAATATATTGATATTTATTATATCATTGTATATTATCCTACAGACCTTTACTCTACCTAATAAACTGTTATCATCAGACTATTTTTGCCTTGCTTTCCAAACACAACCGAACTTCGTCTTCTCCTCAGACCTAAGATGGACTTCAGAAATTGTCTCAAACTATAGTTAGAATTTTCAATTGCCAGATTATATATACGAGTTTATATCAAAAAGTAAAGGAAACTTAATGTTCTTCTTTTTGTTAAACCAGGAAAAAAAAATTTGCAGAAATATAGTCAAAGCAGTCTCTTGCTCCTTTAAAAATTGCTCAACATCAATCTGCAAGTTTAATGAAATCTAAGGACTTGTGCGTCACTTCTTTAACTTTTTCTGAAAAATCACACATCCATATGTTTTTTTTTTCCCAGAAAACTAAAAACTGATAAATTATACACTGCTATATTTTTAAAAATAAAATTAACATCACTGTTGTTGACAAATATTGGTTAAGCTGCTCAACAACTTCAACAGCACTTGTAATGCTATTTAATTTCTTCCATTCATACACTTTGATGAATAATATTTTTCTATATCATATGAACACCATTCTGTAAATCTGGGAGAGTTTTATCTCTTCTAAATGCAGAAATCTGATCAGAGTACAGTTGGAAATTGGAGCCAACACAGTTATATCTTGGCCTTTAAACCAAACCAAATACAGTATATGCAACTGATATAACTTTATATTTTATCTGTAGTATTAGATAAAATTATTTATAATGATCTTGGAAACTTGTCCTGATAAGTTTTGAAAAAGTTGCCTTTACTTTTTGTATAATATTTTATTCTTAATGAAAATAGTTTATCAAATCAAATAATATATCATTGATTCTATCCAATTTACTACAGTATTTGTATAAACTTCATATAAACTATTTTCAAATCGCTTTCCTCTCTACTCGGTAACAGTAAAAGCACTCAATGTTTCATTAAAAAATATCTTTACATAATAAATTTCCTTAATTTTCAATTATTTATTTAACATTTAAAGTTATTTAAATCTTTAAATATTAATATAAATATATCATTAAACATAACACAAAATTAAAAAGCCAATTTATTTGCATATAGCAAATATTTATCTTTTGTTATATATATAGTAATCATAATCTTCAATACTTGTTGACACTAATAAATAATGTTAAAATAATTACCATCACAAAATCCATGACACACAGCTGCAATAAAATTTATTAAAGTACTTTCACCTTTTTGAAAATTGAAAGATTCTTCAATAAATATAAAGAAATTGTCATTAAACATTTTCAACGCATACTTCAAAACACTGAGCAGTTGTATTTCTCAGAAAAAATTATTTCCAAAATTAAATTTCTCTCTTTTTAATCCAACAGAAATGTAACTATAGTAAATTACAGACAAAAATGCTTTAGAAAAAATTATTGCAGTAAGTCTTCATTTTAACAAAATAGTATAAACATGCTTAATTCAGGATCCATTAAATTAAGGAGAAATTGTAAAATTAAAATAAATTAATAACTGTAAATGACAAATTGCACATTTAATATGAAATTACAAGCATAGACTAAGAATATCATTTTCCAAAAATTATTGTCTTCTTCCATGAAGAAATTTTATATAAATAAAAATGGAGTATGCATTTTCTTTATTTATTGGAATGTATAATTCTTTTGCATTTACTTCATTATTGATAATTAAAATGTAAAAACTGATATTGTGCAGGATATACAATCAGTGAAATGACTTTTATTTTAAAGCAATTTCCTTGAATACTTCATCTATATATTCTTTAGTCTGTGATTATAAATTCACGAAGAAACTAAAAAAAAAGTATTGTCACTTCATTATGTTGCCACTGTGTTGAGTTTGAAACAAAATATCAAGAATCTTGTGTCACATGACTCAAAATGGCATTATCTGAGTATGGAAAAAGTAAATTTACAGTATTTCATAAATCAGAAACAAGATTTTATTACACACACAATAATACATGATGAATGTACTACTTGTACACTACGTTTTCAATATAATTCTCCAGATGATTGAGGCATTTATCACAACATGCAAGTTTGTCCATCCTGGACACAAATGTATATCTTTGCTGTATGATTCATTATAATAAAATTTTTTGTAATGTCTTCATTGCAGATGAAACAATATCTTGGTAAGTTTACCTTCAAAGAGAAAAACAGATGAAAGTGATTGGTACTAATTTGAACTTTATAGGAGAGATGGTCCAACATTCACAAACAGAACTTTTGCAATAAGTTCTGAATCCACTACTAATGTATGGTTGACATGATTCTCTTTTATAATAAGCTCAGTTGTAACAAAGACCAGGATGTTTTCTGTACAAACAAAAATCGTCTACTTCTTTGGGCTATAATACTGAATTTTCACAGCTGTTTTCCTGCACAAATTATATGATTCAATATTAGAGAGATTTCTATTGTACATATCAACAAATAAAATTTCAAATGACTTTGGTGTCTTGAATATTAGGATTTGCAAACTTCCTTTCCAAGCTACCTATGTATTAACCAGAACTACATGAAACAAAAGTGCTTTCCAAGATGTTGATATCATATTGAAACAATGCAAAACACTTGTCTATATTATCTGACAATAGATTCAAATCCTGTCTAAACCAAATCTTACAAGTAGAAAAAAAATTGACTATCTTAAATACATGTAGACAACCAAGCTCTAATTAGCNTGTTAACATTGTTGTTTATGAAGATTTGAAAAGCCAGTAAAAATACATTAAATGCAAAAATATCTGAGAACATTAGAGTTTCTACTTGATATATATAAAAAGTCAGACTAAGTTTTTTCTTAGAAAAACAACAATTTCATTCACCCCACAATTTTATGAACACACAGTGTTACTGACAAAGATATATTTGCCTCCTTCAATCACGCAAATAATATAATATAAGACGTCTTGTTCTACAGGAGGAGAAGGTGGAATATTAGGATCCAAGTGTAAGCTACCAAAAAAATTACATTTTATTTAAAAACTACAAAAATTTTAGATTTGCTTATTAATATTTTTATTATTATCAAAGTTTTATAGTGTTCTTTTGTATTCTTATGTAAAAATAATATAATATTGTTAACTAGTTTAGAGTAGGTTCTGAAAGTTCTTTCATTGTTTTCTTGACACTGATAGGTCTTTGTTACTTTAATGGCATTATTGTTCATAATGTTTCACTTGAGAGACTTCAATAGTCATTAATAGTTCAATCAACAGTTTTTAGATAATTTTTGTAAATATTGCCCTTAGTGAGTAATTAAAATTAAAAACGATCAACAGATTTGAATTCAGATAAACAGAGGACACATTCTTCTTGAAATTACATATTCTCTAAATATACCATCCAATACTTGTATCGAATAACAGATTATGTTCTGTAGCTTGTCTTGCTGAAGGTATGCATTTCGAGTTTTGTTGTCATTTAACTGGACAATAAATGTAAAATTTGAAATAAACCAGTTTGATTGCATGAATTTCAATTAATTCAAAATGAAAAAACTTTATAGTCCATTACAAGTAACTTTAACAAACCTTACAATTAGTATTATAAAAGTTTCTTGCTTCAAATTATAAAACTTGTTCATAGTAGCATTCTGAATTGATGGCTTCAGAATAATAAAATCAGACAAATGATATTTGCAATCTTTTGAACCCAAACATCAACATTTCAGGATATAAGAAAAGCTTTGTGAATACTATTAGGACTTCCATAGCACTACATACATATTTTTCAGAGTTGAGTAACCTGAAAAGTAAAATCATGTTTTCTCCATGTAAGCAAACAGATCCATAAATTTCAATATGTAAACAGTTCAAACCATTATTTTCTAGGAATTATCACATCCACAGACTCCAAAAATAGTAGCCTATCAACAACTTTATTTTACCCAGATGTATTTTGGAAATCACAATATTTCCCCCATCAGTGGTCTGTTATTGTTCTCATAGTATGGAGGCACTTTGATCTAAATAGACAAGTTAATATACACATATCACTGTTCAGATTAAATTTTCACTTCAAGTTTCAAAATAGCTGTATTTCGAAGTAACCAAATTCTTTAACATGTAAATCTCTATATCCCATACCAGGACAAAAGTATAGTTATGAACTAATGTGATTTCAAATTATCCAAGTTTAAATTAAAGATTTCCTCTGTGGTGTGTGTGTGTGTGTGTGTGTACGCATATATTAATATATATATTCATTCAAAATAGTGGAGAGAGATATATTACCTGTATAAATGCTTCCATGAGAGCATTTATTTCATACAATATAATGTTTAATGGTACTCATCATTGTATATGTTTTACATAAAAATAATAAACTGTTAACATATTTTAATAAATTGTCCTTTTTCATCATTAGTTTAATTTCTTTGAATTATACAATGGTTTTAAGTTGAAAAATTAGTGTAAAAACATTAATGTTGTTTCAGAAGGCTTTAGGGCAGTTCAGAGACACATTTGTCACAACCTCTGAAAACCACAATGTAAGCATTTTCCTAAGCTCAGACTCTTCTGCTTCCAGTTTTTGATTTATGATTGTAATTATTGACATAGACCTATCTTTTTTAAAAATTTTTTCCAAAATCTTCAACTAGGCACAAGTGAGGCCGTGTTAACAGAGTTTTGATGCTTGGGCACAAATGGAATCCTTAAATGCTCCAGTTCATATCATAATGCAGCAGAAGCTGGCAATTTTCCAATTCCCAAAATAATTTTGCTAAATTATCCACAGTTGTAGCCTTCACTTTCCTTCTTTCTTTAGGTTCACTTAACAGGAATTTGCAACCATTTTCAGGTATTCTATCAATGTTTACCTTATTCTCCAATCTTCTAAGAACATTGTATATACATGGTCTGTTGATTTAAATTCAGTCACAAAATGTATATCATCTGATTTCTTCCACGTTAGATTTTCAGTGTAAAATTTGCATACCACATTTCAGCGATCTTCCTCTTTACCATACACCATCTTTTTATTGAAAAAACAGTTCAAACCATGTTTACATGCATATTATTTGGTCACATGCAAAGAAAATGGAAATGACAAACAATGATATAAAATTTTAATTTTTTAAAGCAGCTACATTTTATGCAAAATTTTTTTCACTATATAATATATTATCTTTTGAATGTAAATCAAAGATATTTGTCTCTTTCCTGTTGAGGTTTGTGTGTGTCTATCATTGCAGTTTCTAGTTTGAAACAAAGAAACATATTTTTGTCAGTATCATCACAGCTATTGTGCATTAAGTACTTCCTTTTGTGTTTGCATTTGTTGCCATAATGCTATAATGTCTGCATTTTGCAGCTCCAGAGGAATACTATATCTGGGCCACAGAATCTACAGTGGACTTTGAAAATTGACTTGATATTGCTTTACTCTATTTACTATGCCTATCTGAGTCCAGCAATAGTTGGCTAGATACCAAAACTATACAATATGGTGTGCTCTATCACAGGGTGGAGAAATGATTTAAGAAATTTGTTGATGGTCAACTCTCCTGACCATTTAAATATGAAATACAGTACTTAAAAAAAAAATTATTTGAAATAAAAAAAATACCTAAAGATTGAGTTTTTGATGCGTTAAATCCCACAAATACACAGAATTGAAAAATGCTAAATGCCTTTTTCAATTCTGTGTATTTCAATTTTTAGTAATGTTCTGTGTAGTAATGTTAACATTGTTGTTTATGAAGATTTGAAAAGCCAGTAAAAATACATTAAATGCAAAAATATCTGAGAACATTAGAGTTTCTACTTGATATATATAAAAAGTCAGACTAAGTTTTTTCTTAGAAAAACAACAATTTCATTCACCCCACAATTTTATGAATACACAGTGTTACTGACAAAGATCTATTTGCCTCCTTCAATCATGCAAATAATATAATATAATACGTTTTGATATTTCACACTACTCATATGATGTTTTTCCTCTCCACAGTTTCATAGTTAACAGTAGATAATACTATAAATTTCCAGAAGATTCTAGTTTAATCAAAGATGATATGCATTATCTCGGAACAAAAATTTGTGTCATCATGTAAAACTTTATGGCTTGATATATCAATATTAAATATTCTTTGTCTTCTAAACAATCCATATTTCACTATTAGTAATTTATCTTTAGTCTCTTGAAAGTTTTCTTGTTGTCATCTTAGAATCATTTATAAAATATGATAATATTGTCAACATTAATTGCCAAAAATGTTCTTAACAAATTTTCCAAGTTCAAACTGTTACACATTCATCACTGAATACCTGACAATTTTGTACATATTTGTGACCAAAAATTCACAAAACCTCTGCTTTTTGATAATGATAATTAGTATTAATAGTAAAGCAGGGAGTACCCATTACATATTATATGCTACTTTGTTAAGTTCCCAATTTAATCAACATTTCATGAAATTTCAAATCCATCCACTATAAATTCTTAAGATTCTTTTACATAAGTAATTAAATATTGTTATATATGTATATATAACAATATTTAATTATATAATAATATACAGTATTGAATTATTTTTTCATTCTACATTCTATAATACACATTTAAAATTGTTTTAATTAAATACTTGATAAAACTATTTTCTTACCTTCTATGAGAGAGATAACTCTTGTACGCACTAGGTGATAATGGTGCTTCATAAGAACTATAAAAAAAGTATAATTACTACTTTACTAATTTAAAATTTTACAAAAAGTTAGAAGTGATTCTTAAAAATTATACATTAATGATCTCTATAATAGCTCACTTCATAAACTTTATGATAAAATTAATGATCATATGCTTTGGCTATATTTTTGAATTTAAAGCAAAAAATAATAATAATAATTAATAAGTCTCTAAAATGTTTAGATATTTGAGCATCAATTACAATTTAAGTATTTATTTTATATTCTATACTGAAACTTAAGAAATATCACATTTTTAAATACATTATTAAATTTTTAAATCTTACTTATTGTAATCATGATTATTATCATCATTCATTTTGTTATCAAAATTAGCAAGTCCCAAAATATACAAGTTTCAGGTATACTAAAGTTCAGATAAATTGGCATTTTTAAACTGTCTTTTCACACTATCATCTTTAACATGTGGCTGATATGACTATACATTATCAGTTCTTATCAGTTATTGAAAAGTCTTTATCATTGCATTAAAATATAAAACTTTCATTTCAGATATTATCATCAGTTGTGTTATGTTATTAAAATTAGCAAGTCCCAAAATATACAAGTTTCAGGTATACTAAAGTTCAGATAAATTGGCATTTTTAAACTGTCTTTTACACTATCATCTTTAACATGTGGCTGATATGACTATACATTATCAGTTCTTATCAGTTATTGTAAAGTCTTAATCATTGCTTTAAAATATTAAACATTAATCGTTCTAATTATTATTTGTTCTCAGTACAGTAGTTTAAATTTCTGGTATCTGTTACTTCAACATTTACTAGATGAAAATACTATTAAGCAACTATTATTATTATTAATTAATTAATAATTACAATAGTTTCTTAATGTTATAAATTGATTATTATTATTATTGTGCTGGGTTAAGTGGGTTACTTGGTTCACACCGGTGGTTGTGTACTATGCCGGACCAGAGTCAAGGCATAGCAACCAAAAACAAAAATTAAATAAGTGTGTCAGTGTCTGTATTCAGGAACTTCCTAACAATGTGGCATGTATTCAATATAGTGGCCTTCTGTAGTGTGATGTATTTATTTCTATTCAAATGTAATGTTCCCAGGCTTTTGTGTAGTGTGTGTTTATTGCTATTATTATTATTGTTGTTGTACTGCTGAATTTACTTGATATAACACTGCACTGCTGTGTCAACTGATCAGGTTATGTGATTTCATTTACATGCTAATTCTGTACAGTATCACCTACTTGTTGGTAAAGTAGTGTCCAATTTAGATTGACAATGCCTAGAGTCAGATTTTGTGTGTTAGGTTTAGGATAAAATATATCCTAAACCTAACACACAAAATCTACACGAAAAATTACACGAAAAATTACAGTAAACAGAGTTATCTAGGAAAATTTAATAAACACATATATATGGTATCTACAGAATATTGTATAAAAATTATATTTGTATCTTCAGAGTAACTCTTGAAAAATATCTTGTTTCTTTCCTTTTAAAATCAATTCTAACCTATTGCCACACATCTTACCATAGCAATCAGGAAGCTGTGGCAGCTGAAGGATTTGTTAAATAACATACCTAACAATGTAGTCAACAAGGATGATATAGATGCCAATTTCAATACTAGTAATGGTAATGACAAGTCTGAAGTAGAGGCTTGTAGTAATGAGGTTAATGAAGATGAGACTGTTGAGGAGAGCAAAAGATAAAATAGCAACAAGAGCAAAGATGGTGATGATTAAAGCTACAATGTTTATGTAACTACATAAAAACATGTTTGCTACATAAATCAATCATTTTTGTTAATATTTACACATTTATTCAAAAATTGAATAAGTACATAGTTCTTTATTTTTGTAATTTTAACTGAATTTTTACATTTCTGTAGACCCAGTAGACAGAAATGTATATTCAAACATAAAAAAAAAATTCTGTTAAAATTTACAAAAACTATTTTCCTTCCTTCATCTCCCTTAATGCAATAATGAGCTCCAAGTGACCAAAAATAGTTATCTTTCTGTTATATTTCCACACATTTCTATGCATATTGCATTTTAATTGTTAACTAGTGAAAATCCAAGGAAGAAAACAACAAAGCTTAAAGTATTGATAGAAATTGCAAACTGCAAGGAGATGTTAAGGAATTTGGTCAAAACATCTTCAGCATGAATGGAAAAATTTTTCTGGCAATGTAGCTGTAACAATTGATCAGCAATATCAGGTAATCCAACACCTTCATACTAACAAATACATGAAAGCATCTTCATGCTGTACATTGATTCAGCAAACTCAAATACAGTCTTGTAGTGAAACAGAAATTTTCAAACAAGCTGAAGGCAAGCAGTCTTTTTCAGACCTATCAGCTTTCCTAGCAGTGAATATACCTTTCTATAAACTTAAGAATCCTGTATTCCAAAAATTTGTAAGAAAATATTGCAACAAATCTGTGTCTTATTAATTTACACTCAGGAAAAATTACTTGCCTGACTGCTATACTGAAATGATATTGCATGTTAGGAAGGCAGTAGGAACAGAAAAACTTCTGGCTGTCCATAGATGAAACCGTGATACAACAAATCATTTCACCTGGCAACATCATAATTGGAACTCTTGAAAAAAACTGGAAATTTCCCCTGAACAAATTTATTTGCTGCATATCAAAATGCTTGAGTATACAATCCATTTGACAGTAGCAAGTCTTTTCTTTTTCTAATCAATCATAAAAATTCTCTGGCTACACCAAATAATGCTATTAAATTTTGTTGATTAACGGTTGAGGAGATGGAGAGATAAAGGGGGTCGAGTGTCATATCTGGAGTGAGGTCAGATTTAATAAAGACTTTACTAGTTACTAGCATTTACAATTTCTTATAAAACTCATCTCTAAACCCTCAAAATTATACTTTTTGCCATTTTATAATACTAAAAATATAAAAAATGCTTTAATAAAATATCATAACAGATAGTGCCACCAAAATTTTAAATGTTGCTGGGAAAGTTGGGCGACTGAGTGCTAATTTATTTAAGTTTTTCTGTCAAACTCTCAATACATTCAGCTAACCTTATAATCATAATATTAAATCTAAGTAACAGGTTGACAATTCAAATTATATGAAATACCTCATATGAAGCACAAACAACAATCATAATAAAGATCTTTTTAATAAATTTTAAAGAAATATTTATTTTAATTTTACCTTGCTTTCCTTAAAAAATTAACAGACGGAGAGAGCATTGCATCATCTTCTTGAGCAGCTTTTAATAATGGCCAGCTGAATCTATGCTCTGAAAGAACAGGCTCTACAAAATAAAGTAAATTTCTATCAATTTTGTTTTCAAATTGCATAAAAAAGAAAAAAAGTTTGTTTTTAAGCTACCTAATAATATAATAATTTAATACAATAAAATTCTGCATTAAAAAATAGTAAAATATAATTTTCAAATTAAAATATTTTATAACATTATGAACAGAAATTGCCTCAATAAAATAATTATAAAATTCATTAATACTGATTTTCTTGATACTATATAATCAATTTTGCTGGAAAGCTAATCTGTTAAAATATAGAAGCAATAATTCATGATTTGTTATTGCTGGATTCCTTCATAAATTCTATTTTTATTTACTGTTTTGCATGAAAATTATCTGCAATCAATCTATACATTATTATAATCAACTACAAAATATTTTTTTTTATAATAATTGCAAACAATTGCTAAAATTCTGGTTATGAAATAATTACTTAATCAGAAAAATTTTCAACCATGTCTGTGGTCATCTTTAGCTTACAGAATAAACAGAGTAAATTTGTTTTAAATTATAAAAAAAAACAAAGAAAAAGAAAAATAAATACATAGATATATCAATAAAATAACAAAAAATGTACATAACAAGTAAAAATATTATATAGATGAGTAATGTACAAAAATGTTCATTGCCAACAGAACTTAAAAAATAAATAAAATTGTCCAAATTTAGCTTTTATAAGATTGATAAGGGTGAGAGAAATCTCACCTATGTGCTAATTAAATACATGCACTGTCTAAGATTTAAAGCATTGTATTCATTTATTATTGGCAGTTTATTCCCAAAGATGTGAATATATAGGGTGCACCAAAAACACCTGACAATTTTCAAATTTTAATTTGTAAGACACTCATTAACTGTCTCTGTAAATATGACAGGCTATTACATTCAGTGTGCCTTGAAGTTCAGCTTGAGACAGAGTGTTGGTCTGTGCAGCATTGCATTGCAGCAGTAAAGTCATTTATCAAGAAAGAATCTATCATGGCTACACAATGCAACTTTTAACACATTTGGTTGACGTGATGTTCCAGTCACAATACTCTACTGCTATGGATGAAGAAATGGTATCAGGAAGGAACTGTGAAGGACAAGACACATTCAGGACATACTTGTTTGATATATATATACTGGAACACATTGATTGTGTATGGGATGCAATCTTGCATAATCATCAATGGTCAGCTTGGCAGATACCAGTGTTTCCTAAATCCTACAGAAAGATCTTCACTATAATCCTTACAAAATCCAAGTTGTACATAAGCTTACTAAACAGGACAAAACAACTTCAATTTTGCAATGAGATCTCAAAGCTTCTGCATACTGAAGAGGGTCTTCTGAACAGGTTACTGATGAAATCTTACATATATTTATCCAATCTTCCCGACATTTTACTTAAAAATATAGCACCGTATTTTAAATTTTTCTTTCACTTCAAATAAACTGTATATAACTGAAAGAAATTGTTGCACACACACATAACCAAGCTTTATGATTGATATATTTAATTTTAAAAAGTTGTGTTTTATTTCATAATAAATTTTAGAAACAAAAACATTTTTGTTTAAAATAATGAAAATGATAAAATTCTTATTTTAAGTTTTCTGCAGATCAATTTATTTTCTCCCACAGACTGGTAACAAGTCACAGATCAAAAACTTTGGAAACCAGCATATTAAAGTATTTGCATGAAAACCCAATAATATGACTAACAAGTTGTATAATTCATCATTTTTTTACACACAGTAACAATTAATATTCTTTGAATCATTTGGTTACTTAAAAACTTCTAATAAAAATTAATAGTTTTCATTTTGTTTTAATATTAAATCTGTTTCATATTTGTTAAAATAGAATTCTTTAGAATATTTATTAGAAAATAAAAATGTAAAAAATTGAAGAATTTCTTGTTAATACACCATTAATGATAGTTTATAATTGAAATATTTCAATTTAACTTAAGTCTACTACAAATAGTTGTTATTATATACAGTCAACTCACTATAAAACAAACACTGATAAAAGCAAATTTTGCCATTGCCCTGGCAAATTGTAACATTAATTTTCATGCAATAAAGCAAACAAAAATTTTACCAGAATTCATTAAAATGAACTCTAAATTATCTTAACAATCCCCCAAAAAGTAACCTTATTTTCAATAATGACTTTATTATTCATGTCAAAAAGTGTAAAAAGCAAAGTGGTACTGTAATAAATCTTCTATAGGAATAGAATAATTTTCTTCTCCTAGCAAAGATGGTTCTTGCCTCCAATTGTAGAGCAATTCAAACATCTGAGTTTAGCAGACAATTCTACTGTACTCAGAAAATAGGAGTTAAAGTTAAGGACACCCACCCCTTTAAATGGATGCAGTCCCATGCTAGTTTTCCATATCAGGAGGGTGTATAGAGTGATGCTAGGTTCAGCTACTTTGTGCCAAAAAATATTTTCTACTTTTTTAATCTTTAACAGAAAAAAAATCACAAATTTCTTTTAGCTTTGTTTTGTTTAACCACTCCGAAATACTGCTCCACATTTAAACAGCAAATACAGTCTATTCCTCATTTTCTTTGATTTGAAAATTGTTTAGATCATTAATTTATTTTTGTAAATAACTTTAATTTTATATAACTATCTTTGTTAAGTAAATTCAAATTATTATAATTTAGAGTTTTCGATTGCTTATTAATCTGTAACTTGGTAAGTTATACAACCTTGACTCTGAAAATTGTTAATACAAATTTTTGATAAAGTGAACTAACTACTCTTCCCCTGGTGATTTGTATTAATGGGAATTGACTGTATAGATTAAATTTTTCATGTGAAAATATCAATATTAAAACTTACCATTGCCATCACCATGTTCATGTAAAGAAGTGAGATCTAGAGGAGGAAAGANAATCTTGTAAGCTTCTTTCGTGTTTAATAAACGGTTGTGTTGTTTGTAAACGAAGCATCTATCTCTGACTCAACTGCTTCCACATGTCGTTGATTGTTACCGCTCGGCAATCCAAACGGCAAGGGAGACGATGACGATACATATCACATATTATTGTTCGTCGAGAGATTTTGTTATTTCTCCCCCCCTCGGCCCCCACATTCAGCTACTTTGTGCCAAAAATAATTTCTACTTTTTTAATCTTTAACATTTAACAGAAAAAAAATCACACATTTCTTTTAGCTTTGTTTTGTTTAACCACTCCGAAATACTGCTCCACATTTAAACAGCAAATACAGTCTCTTCCTCATTTTCTTTGATTTGAAAATTGTTTAGATCATTAATTTATTTTTGTAAATAAATTTAATTTTATATAACTATCTTTGTTAAGTAAATTCAAATTATTATAATTTAGAGTTTTCGATTGCTTATTAATCTGTAACTTGGTAAGTTATACAACCTTGACTCTGAAAATTGTTAATACAAATTTTTGATAAAGTGAACTAACTACTCTTCCCCTGGTGATTTGTATTAATGGGAATTGACTGTATAGATTAAATTTTTCATGTGAAAATATCAATATTAAAACTTACCATTGCCATCACCATGTTCATGTAAAGAAGTGAGATCTAGAGGAGGAAAGAGATCACTTTTATCTGGTGAACTATTAAAGTTTTCATCATGAGTTGAATGAAATTCTGTGTGTGTGCAAGAGAGTTCTGAATAATCACAGGTATTACTTTCTAAGACTTGTTTATGAGATTTACTGAGAGATTCATCTGAATTGAATTTATCATCTTGGAAGCTGTAATTATCTTTCCATAATGTTGATCCATGATTATTAAATATTTTTTCTTCTTTCACTTTATTACTAGGTTTTGGTGGTCTTTGTTCTATTACATTTTCTTTAAGTGAATCTGTTTCCTCCTCCTCTTCCATTTGTGAAACTGAAGTTGTATCTTCTTTCCAACACTGTTTCACTGTTTTTTCATACTCTGTGGTTTGAAAACTATTAATTGTAGCATTCTTCTTTCCATAATCAACATGATTCACTGATGAATAGTGTGGCTTCTTATACTGAAAAATTTTTATTAGTTTCTCATCAGTAAATTAAAGATTAATTCTAAATTCTAACAATAAAATTTTTCCTACACTAATGAAATTATTAAACAATTAGCCTAACTTCAAACAGCTGTGGGGTTCAGGGGCTGTCAAAATTTATTATGCACTTTTTGGGTAGGGTCCTGCCAACAGGTGTGTTTTATCAGACACACCGTTGATTGAGACAAAATAAATGATTAAAGCGCAAGGGTAAGAGCCACTCCAAAGGCCAAAAATGAGCCTCTCAGGAGGAAGAATGCAGAGTCAGATATAACCAATTAAAGAAAATTTATAACACAAAATGGAAGTTTAGAACAGAATTATAAAATCTGATTTTTGGAAATTTGCCTATCTCTATCTATACAACGAGGGGGTGCCTAACAGGGGGTATTTGAACTTACGCGACTCACAACATACCAGGTAAACAAGTTGTCTTTTCTTGAGCTACTCTCGCTCTGGTGCTCGTCCGTTCTCTCTTTCTTGCTTTCTGCGTCTTTCTCACTTTTCTCCTCTTCTTTTTCTGCTTCTTTCTCTCTTGCTCTCTGTCTGTCTGACTGACTTTTCTCCTCTGTCTGTCTGTCTGTCTTTCTCTGGTTGCTCCTCTCTTTTTAAACACTTCCAGCATGAGAAAGTCTGTCATTGGGTGATGATTCATTGGCAGTGTCGTCACTGTAGCTGAGATGGTGTTTTCTTATTTAGTAATGACATTGAACTTTCATAGAGTCATCTCTGAGTTGACGTGACTCATCTTTGCTTTGGGATAATCATTATTCATTGATTGCTTTGACTAAGTTCTTTGTTTAATATGTAAACATTGCCGAAAACAAGGGGGGAAATGCGATGTTCTCATTTCTATATATATATATTATATTTTCTTTTATAATTTTAATTATTTAATTGCTCCTTCCTCTCTTCCTTGGCATGTTGTGAGATTTCTGATAGTTGGATAATAAACCGTTTTATTGTAATTTGTCTTTTTAAATTATTGCGAGTCGATATTAAAATTTGGAAAAGGGGATCCCTAGATCGGTAANATTTCCTCCTACAACTTCGGTTGTTGTTCAAGATACAGTTAAGGTTTTAACAAAGTTCAAGTGAATACATAATTAGTAAAAAAAAGTTGAAATAAAGTAAATAAACAAAAATTATTACAAATGTCATAAATAACAGTTCACAAATGCATACATAGTTATTTTGGAGGGGGAAATGGTGGTCTTCACACAGCATTTCAGACTTGTAAAAATTCTAAAATTTTTAGAAAATACTGTGATTAAAAATTTGTTTTCAAATGTAGTAATAAACTTTGTATAACAATATTCTGTTAAAAGTTGTATATTCTTGTAATAAATTCAATTTAATTGTATAATTTCTCATAATATAGCAATATTATTATACTATTTGAATATAAATTTTACTGTCATAAGCTAAATTATGATAAATGCATCATTTCATTTGTTTTAAATTCAAAAATAATATTTAGAAAATACAAATTAGTAATGAATTTAAAGATTTATAGAAAAAATATTCATAAACAATAAATCATACAAAGATATAAACTTTAGAATGTATGTATATACCAATAAATAAAAATTTTTTAAAAATTTATATATCCTTATTCACACGTACTTCAAACTTTTGGTACTTTCAGCAGATTTCTTACATTTTATTATAAAAACATTTTTGACATTTGTAAACAAAAATAAATTTACATTTTACAAAATTAAAAACTATAATATTCCAATTACCATATTGCAGTCATTAGATATATCCATTAAACTGATGCATTTCTCTTCAACAAAATTCATTTCATGAAAATTAGTAAAATCTAACTCTCTTCTTTTTGGCTTAGGGGGATGTGGGCTATGATCTCTAATATCATGAAATGTTAATTCTTTTACTGTTATGTTGTATTTCATTTTTAAAGTAGTATTTTGTTTATTCATATCAATCTAGAAAAATAAAGAGAATTTACTTAGTTATAAATCATTAAAATAATTCTTACATGTATTTATATTTGAATTTCCTAATACAACACAGATATCTATTTCTATTCTATTTTCATAAAAACAAAATCAAACAGAGCAGTGTAATGTTTCTGTGCTGAGAATCTTATGATAAGATGTACAGTATATCTCAGAAAAATTTAATTTGTATAATCCTATAAGGCTTCTTGAATTATTTGAAATTTTAGTTTTAAAGGTTATTAAGGTCATTAAATCTTTCTTCTTCCTATAAAAGATTATTTTCAGGATTTACTTATTAGGCACATAATTACTTTGGATAAAATCCCTCGATTTTATTTTTGTCAATGTGTTTCAATATATTAACTTTTATTCTAACAACATTTTACAATGTTCTATTGTATACTTTCATAATTAATTCTTAAAAATTTTTGCTGGATATGTTCTACATCATTCTAACCTACCGAACTGAGTTGTTTTAAGCTAAGGAAGATCAGATGTATTATGATCCTTTATTGAAAGTGTTGGTTAAAAAAACAAAATAGCTTACTTCAGATATTTATATAATGAAAACTAAACTGAAATTTATAAAAGCATGCCTAATAATACCATCATATTACAATTTTTGACTTCATATACAACAGGATAAGATTAGACTATATATATAAATCAATCTTTAAGCTTCAATTTAATACCAAATGTACTCAGAATTGGAACAAATATATATTTTACTTTTTAATTACCTTCTTTGAAAATGTTTACATTAAAAATTTTAATTCACAGTGTATTTTTACATGAATTTTTATAAATCCATGTCAATTTAATATATGGAAAAGACATACAATGAATAATTCATTAAAAAAAGTTTAAAAATAAATGAAGCCATTATATTAAATATCACAGTGATTACAATTTTGTAAAATTAATATAAATAATTTTTGTCATTTCAATTCCATATTACAACTCTTAATATAATGATAAAATCCAATTAATTATTTCTAATAAGTAATCACTCAATAATTTTATTAAATTATTTTACCTCTTTCTGTAATTGAGTGTTTTCAATATTCATGGAATCTGATAATACTCTTACTTCCTCATGGCTGTTAAAGCGTCTGATATGTTCTTTACCCGTAAAAAACAATTCATCTTTTTTAAATGGTGGTCTTTCTTCTGAGCTTGATCTCAAAGGTTGCAAATCTTCCCCCGAAGGCCTTCTTTCTTTGCGCTTTCTACTTAAAACTGAAAAATTATTTAAAAAATTTTTTTTAAATAATTAAAATTTTAGCTGGTGACAAAATTTTTTATATATATTTTATTTTTATTTTTTCAGGATAATATGCATTATTTTTACATTAATTTATCTTTGTAGTTTTAGCATTTATAGATTTAATGTTTTTATTCAAATACCAAAAAACATTTTGACAGAACAACAGTTTTGGTCTCTTTTTTTTTTTTGCATTTTTGGCTAATTGGATATAAAGGGGGGTGAATTGGTCATTGAAGGTGTTGGTGAACTTTTCAGTGCAGCTTATTTAACAACAGTGTAATTACATACCAGGAATTATCAGTAATTGGATTTTGCTAGATTTAAGAATGTGGTTATTTATTAATAGATTAATTTTGGAATTAATCACATGCCTATTATTAATTGCTGGAATAGAACCTAACCCAGGCCCTCTTTCCCATTCTCCCCAACATTTGAGTCAAATAGACATGCAAAAGAGGGGGGCGTGGTAGGCTATGAAAGAAAAATTCTAAAAAAACAGTCAAAGAAAATCAAGTGGAAGATTTATTGAATGAAGAATACTTTCCAATTGAAGAGGATTCCAATAGAGATAGTTTCAAAACCAAAAGATTTACAAAAATATCTGAATACTTGGAAGCATTAAGGAATAAGGATCCCCTGGTACAGGAAGAATCACAATACACACTTAAATCAATATATGAACTTATACAAAATAACTTTTCACATCTTAGTAGAAAATACAGGGAATCAAGACAGAACTTAATTTAATGAAGGAAGAAAATAAGCATTTTCAAGGACTAGTGAATTTGTCACAGAAAATGGAAGAAATAGATGCATTATCCACAAATAATAGCTTTTTAAAAGGTATGTTTGAATTTAAGTTAGATAAATTAACAAATGAGAAAAACGAATAAAAATATTATAGTTATTAATTTTCCATTTATTTCAACCAATTATGTCATGAAAATCCATCAGTTCATTAAGGAGGATTTGAGAATAAAAAATAGCTCTATAAAAAGCATAACCAGGTTAAGTAACGATAGAACTAACCCTATTATGAGGATTGCATTGGATTCCTTGTACAATAGAAATTTGATGTTAAAAGAATTTTGGAAATTAAAAGCTAAAGCTAATAGTGAAGAAAGGACAAAAAAACAATTTTTTACTGTTGACTTATTCCAAAGATCTAGATTAAAAAGAAAAAAGCTACAAACTATAATTAAACAAGAAAAATTAAAAATAAACAAATTAATTATTAGAGATTATTATTATATCCAAGATAAAAAAATATTCATGTACAAATTAGAAATTTCTACACCGGAGTATTTATAATACACGTACCTCTCTGCCTTTTACTGGTGTGCTCCTTCCAATCAAATAATAAAGTAATTGCAAACGTTTTCAAACCATTACAGCTCTTCTTCGGGCATTACAGAACTTCCTATTCGAATTTGTGTTTCCAATCCAACAGCACCACAAATGTGCAGATCCGTAATGACGCTGTTGGTCGCACGAGACAATATTCCAGAAGATATTCCATAACTTTAAATTCAATTGGAAACACAAATTCGAATAGGAAGTTCTGTAATGCCTAAAGAAGAGCCGTAATGGTTCAAAAATGTTTGCAATTACTTTATTATTTGGTTAGAAGGAGCACACCATTAAAAGGCAGAGAGGTAGGTGTATTATATTCATGTACGATACCAATTTAGATAAAGTGATACAACTAAATATTTTTTAGGAGGGAATTCTTAGAACTTATATTGAGGGATTCAGATGATGACTCAAATACTTAAATGTTATAATTATAAACCCAGGAAATTAGAATTGGTCAATTGGAATTAGAAATATAGATATATAATTAATTAATGATAAATTTACAGGAACTTTCCTTTTATTAATACAAAATGTATGATAGTAACTTCTAATAGTGACTCTGGATCATTCAAGTCTGCAGGAAAAATTTCTTGGTATTTGTCTTCAGTGAATACATGGAATGCAATTAATACTAGAAAGGTATACAGAAAAAGTAAATATACTGCAGGTGCTTATGTTACTCTGACCAAAATTGAGTGTTGAGAAGAAAGGTCAATGAACAAGGATTTCAAGGACAGTTTTGGAATATATATTAATGTTAAACAATCACAACAGGAGATTAAAAACCATATAAGAACTAGAGTAACTTAATAGCAGTACTGGAATAATACTGATTTAAAAATGTTATAAGAATGCTACAGTTAAATTTAAACAGAGTTGATACAATAATCTGTTATGTTGTAGGTATTTTTCCCAAATTTATATGGTTTGTTGTTTTTTAAAAGAAGTACTACAATTACAAAATGGATGTTACTTCGTGTGTTGAATATGACCATTAATGTAAATATCAAGTACAAATTTCTTCTCATATAGCAGAATTATGACTAATTATTGTTTAAACATTTTGTTAAAATCTTTGTAATCAAGTTATATAATATGTTTTAATTTATATTAATGAAAATGTATATCTATGTTAACAAAACAGTTAAGATGTATCATATTGAATTAATATGTTGTTAGATGATTATGATTGATTAATATTTGAAACACCCCTTGTAACAGGTTAAATCCTAATACAAATAAACATTACTTACTTACTTACTTAATTGGATATAAAGATAAAAATTTACATACATAAGTTATATTCAACAATAAACTTGAATTAACAAACATACCATTATCACTTCGTCCAACTGTTATGTTTTCTTCAATTATGTATTTGGAACTTTTCAGATCACTGTAAAATATTAAAATATGTTATTAATTAATATTCACTGCTATTTAATCTTTCTATTTATTAAAATCAATATATGCAACAAACTAGTTGTCTAATTTTGATTTTTTTTAATTATTCATTTAATCTGTTTGTTCTAGTCAAATTTGTTATTACTGAACAATCTTCAATAAGAGGTAAATTGCTAAAATTTACTTATTGACTTTATTTAATTTATAGTAAAAGCTGTTTTTGTATATATTTCTACATTCCTTGATTACAGTGCACAAGTTTTTTATGTTTCATGCTTTACATAAAAAATGTAAACAAACAACAAAGTAAAACATGTCAAATAAATTATTAGGAAGAGAGAACAAAATTATGTATAAACATAAAAACACTATTTGTTATGCACTGATTAAATCAGCAGATAATTTGATTCTTAAGAGGAAAGAAAAAATAATCAGATAGTTAAAAGAATGTGAGAAATTAATTTCAACAGATAATACATGTTCTAAATATCATTTATTATATAATAATTAAAAAGCTAAAGAGAAATTATTCTTAAGATCCTGAAAAGTACTTTTCAGGATCAGGATTGAGGGTGTTTCAATAAGTAATGCCTTTTATTTTTTTTAAACAAACATTTTAATGTTTATTTAAACATGAATATAGTAAATGAAATATGAATATAGTACATAAAGTTTGAATTTCTGGCAACACTATTGCATAATAGGAACATTTGTGTCACCTGTCGGACATTTCTGACAAATGGAAAGAAAATAGCGTGCATGCTATCATTGTCCACGCTCAAAGAGCAGCAAAGTGTTATTTGTTTTCTATGGGCAGGGGACAAGAAATGTGAACAAATTCACATGGAAATGCAGAAAGTATACGGTCATGATTGAATGGACTATTCAAACGTCCATTGATGATGCAAAATGTTTAAAAATGGTCATCAGTGTGTGATTGATGAGCACAGGTCAGGCCATCTGGTAAGTGCAGCTTCACCTCAAACATTTGCTGCTGTTGATCAAATGATTCAAAGCAACCTTGAAGATGCTGTCAGAAAAATTGCTCAGTGTCCTGTTTGGTCCTCTGAAGAAATTCCTGGTTGGAGGAAGGTTCCATTCTGATGAGGAGGTTATATCAGCTGTTTGTAGATGGTTGTATGGCCAGGAACCAGCATTCTACAACACAAGCACCTTCAAGCAGGTACACTGCTGGGTAGCCTAATACAGAAGTAGCCTAACCCACATATTTGATTTTGTATATTCTGTATTTTCCATATGCATTAAAACTTTTGCTTAAAAAAATAAAAGGTGTTACTTATTGAAACCCCTTTGTATATGATTTTATTTTTGGACAACAGATACTTGTAGAATATCATTACAATTAAACATGTAGTTGTTAGTATACCATTTTAGCACTAGTTATCTATTACACAGGGTGGGGTGAAAATAAATGATTTAAAGTGAGTCCCATTTCCACACGTTAGTAGTATGTGAGTTAATATGTACAGTGATTTGTAGCATTGACAAAAAAAAAATTTCATACTTTTGTTGTAGAAAAATTTTTCATTTGATACACTATATCAGTGGGATATATAATTATGGCTAAATTCTAATGTTAATTTATATAAAGAAAACTGTAATGATCAGTCTGTCAGTTTGGATGTTTATTGCCATATCACAGGGAAATACCTGAACACATTTTAACCAAATTTAACCAACTTCTCTTGAATTGACAGATCCAAAATGTGAAGGTTTACACATATATAATGTAAAATAGGTAAATGTCTCTTCAATCCTAAAAAAGAAATCCTTCGGTAGACTGTCTTGCAACTCTACAGGTTATAAAACTCCTTTATTGTTTTCAAATGGCATGCAAATCGACCAGCAATAATACAACATGATAGAGGGCACAAGTCAATAATTTATATTGTAAGAATTATGCATTGCACGTAAGATAAATTATTTTGTCTGTTGAACCTTTTAAAGATTATACAACATATACTACTGTGTTCTTTTAAAAATGAAACACTTGTAAAGAAAGCCTGTATGCATGTATATTTTGTAGATAACAACTTTTTAGAAAAATTTGTTATAAATAGTTTGTTAAAATGTTACTAACAATTATAATTTATAATTACTTGTATAGCATAATGAAAATTATTTCGATGTAATATGCCCTTAAAAGAGAAAATGGAAATTTTTGAAAACATTGTAAATTGAAACTACAAGTACTGTATTAGTGTGAAAAAACATGTGGAGTTCCTTAGGGTATTATGAAATGTGTTTTATGTTTTGTAAACATTTTCTACACGCGTTGTTTTTATGTCAATTCAATAATTGAATTTTATTTTGTAGCACTGAAGAGGGGCTAGAAAATTAAACTTGCCCGAAATAAAGGAGTTTTATAACCTGTAGAGCTGTGAGACAGTCTACCGAAGGATTTCTTTTTTTGGATTGAAGAGACATTTATCTATTAAACAAATAATACAGCTACCATTAGAAAATTCAACTATATAATGTAGATTTTGAGATATATATAAATTTAAATGTAATGGAATTCTGTCTGTCTGTTTCTTTGTTTGCTAGATGATAACATACATCAATCATCAAATGCCATCAAGCAATTATCTATAAGAAAGTTGTAATATTGAAGTGTAGTATTATGTTTAGAGAACTAACATTAAGAAATAATCAGTGAGAAATTAGTAAAATATGTGAGAAATTAGATAAAGTAACGTCACTGCGCTAGATGTGTTACATATATGCATGGGAGATTTTTCAAAGCATTTTGTGTTGTGTTCATGGTTACTTATTCCTAACTATATTGGTATAAGTTTTCTGTGGTGGTCCCCACCCCAACCACCCCTAATGACCACTCACACACTCTTAACTTAAGCACGTGCAATTTTTTATTTTTTGCAATTTCATTATTGTAAATACTCAGGTCAGTAAATGTACATTTTAGTTACTAGGACCATTGTTTTTAACTAGGGTTTCTCATTTCCTAGTCTTTTGCTTGTCTCAGGATTTTGGAAAAAAGTGAACTGTTTCTTGAGATCCCAGAATAGAATTAATTATTTTTAAGATATACAAAATATCTTTAAAAAATGAAAAATAATTATATCATTTAATTTCAAGTAATTTAATACGTTCTGCAACCTCCAAAATCATATTAATAATGCTGTGTAAGATATATATTAAAAATTACCTTTGAATTACATAGAAATTTTCACAAATAGAAAAAATTTATTAAAGTTTGCTGGAAACTGCATACAACAACAGCAACAACAAAATGCTTTGAACTGAGTTGAAAATTTAAAAAAAATGAACTTAGATCAAACTTGTAATTTAAAAGGTAATTTTCATTTTTTAAATAAAACATAATACAAAATATTATTGTAAATTTTTATATTAAAATTTTAAAAAGCAATGATGATCAATACTCTGATTACTCAATCTGATTCTTATTTTAGCAATGAAAAGGCCTGCTACCAAGAACACTCTTTCCGATTCAATTGATGTTAGTGGAATCATATTTAATGCATTTAAGAGAAGACAGATGTTATGTGTTTTTTCACTTGTAGCCTGAAAGATTTCTAGTTTGTTTTCGAAATTGTAATACTTCTTTTGCTCTCTAGTATTCTTGATTTGTCTACCTCGGCTGCTTTAATAGAAACATCAAGCTTATAGCCCAATAATTCAGCAGTTTGTTTGTCTTTAATAATCAGGTTTACGAAGAAAAACTTCATACTTGCAGACTTCATACTCGTTTGTATCCTTGCCCAATTTACACAACCTGGCATTATGCAGTTATTGAAGCCTGGTTAAAAATTAAGACTGCATAAGCATAATTATTCTATATATTACAGGTTCTGACAAGTAAAGAATTTTCAGAGTCCTGCCACAAATAAGTTACATATTGATTATTGACCATTTGTGAGATGACATAATGAGCAAGCATTTAAAAAACTAATAAATAGGTTTAAAATTAATAAATACAAATGTATTCTGACAGTTTATGAGTTAATTACACTTTCTATTTGCAAAATTTCCTCAAACTTTAAACTTTCCTCAAATCTCAAAATTTCCTCAAACATAAAATAAGAAAAAAGTGAACTTTTAAGAAATTTGCAGGGTTTCCTGGAATGAGAAGAATTTCCCAGATTAAAAAACAACTGGATCCCGTTTGAGAAACCCATTTTTAATGTCCTCTCCCAACCAACCTCACCTCCTCAAAAGCCTGTTTCTTGGACTTTTGAGGGAGTGATTATCTCCCAATACAAAATTGTGCCCCCTGAACACCCATAGAAAAAAAACATCCCCAAAGTTTTTGCATTTCTCAATATTTCAAGGCAGAGTTCAAAAATGTAAAATTTTGGGGGGGTCAACAAAAGGGGAGGATGATGATTAGTCAAAAAATAACCCCAACCAAGAATTTTACATTTTCAGATTTGAGATCTTGAGATGCAACAACCTTTGTTATATATAACAGAAAGAAAAAACCCTCAGAGGACAAGTATAGCAACCAGTCAAAAAATGAACTCCCAAGATTTTCATATATTATATATAACAGAGCAAGGAAAATATGACATTACAAATAATCCGGAACATTTAAAATTGGTTTAAAATGTATGAGTGTGTGCATGCGCAGACAAACTGTACATATTGATATAAAGAGTACTTAATTAGAAGTAAACATTTTTGAAATTATACAGTACAGATATTTCACTTTGTTATTATAAGCATCATTGGAATATTGACAATTGGTAAGTTATTATTGTTGAAGATTATTTGTGGAAAGCTAAATTGTATTCAACAAAAAAAATTTGGTTACTTCCTAACTCAAATTTATTATTATTTAATTAAGATGCATTATGTTAAATAAAAGTAAAATGAGCAAACAACTAATTTGCTACTTTTGTTTATTATACTTGAATTAAAAAAATATTCTCCAAATATCTTCTTCGGTGTATAATATATTGATCTTGAGAGTTTGATAAATAAGTATGATATCAGAGTAAATAAAACAAATCATGAAATATAACAATACTAATAAATAATCTTACCTATCAATAATAAGAACAGGAATTTGCTCATCAGGTCCTGTTGACTGCAGTGATGTAAGTGCTAGTAAGTTATCATCTAAAGGAGGAATATCTACAGACAATGGCTTCAATGGCAATAATGGCATCACTGAAGAAGGTACTGGTGAAATCTATATCAAATTTTTGAAAGTCCAGTAAATATTTTTTAAAATTATGTACATTTATTTGCTTATACTCTACTTTAAAATTTATATTATTTTTAATGTAGATTATAAATCACTTTAACAAAGAACACTATTCAATACATAATGAACAAATTATTCACAAAACTTACTATACAAAAATTATTGAACATAGTAAGCAATAATATCAAGTTTATCAGCAGATATTAAACACTAATATCTTTAAATAATTTTTCATTTACTTGATTTAAAAACTCAGTAATTATTGTCAAAATGCATGACATTCATTTGTTAAACAATGTTGAGGATGTATTCCACTTAATTTTAAAAATTTCAAGAGTCTCTATAAAAGAAAATTGTACAATTTCATACTATAACATCTACATTATATAATTTTTTAATGGTTTTTTAAATCTCATTTTGTTAATTTTTACTTTATATTGTACTTTTTACTGATTGTTGTTTTGCTCAGGATTTTGAGTTGGTGACTGTTTTTCAAACATTTCCTTTTGTAAGAATATAGAATAAAGAATAAAATAAGAGTAAGACATTTTAATGTAGTAAATTTTGGAAGGTCTATGAAAAACAAATTACATTTACATCAACTCATTAAGACTTTAGAAAAAAATCTTAATTTGATGAACTCTACTGTGTACATTTGATGAAAACCATTTGTTGACTTGTGAACTGAAATTATCAGCATTCAAATATATATGCTAACATTCATTACTGAGAGAGAAGTACTCTCAAAACTAAATGAAAAATTATGCTTAAGGATCAAGTTTTAATACACTGAAGATTTCTTTCATATTAACATTGATCCAAAAACTTTATATTAAAACTTTTTTGAATTTAGAATCCACATATAAAACATTTATGTATATTATACTAAAGGTATAAATGCATGCATACACAAGAATTTATTAAAACCATACTCAAAATGTATAAAATTTAATAATATTTCTTCAGAAACTATTGTAATAATGACATCGAAATTCACATACATTCACCAAAGATTTGATATAAATAAGAAATATTTCATTGTTCATCTGAAATTAAAAAAGTAATTCAAACAGTAAATAAAACATTAAGTTTAATATATTATAATATTCTTTATTATTTATAAAATTTATCTTAAAAAAATATTTAGTGTGAATTATTATTCATTACGGAATTCTTCTGACAAAAACAATCCTTTTTTTCTTGAACATTTGAAAATTTTTAAAATTTTTCATTTCTAAATTTTTCACAATAATCAACTGATTTTCGTACATGAAAATTTAAAGTAGTCTGCAAATAAAAGTCAAAATAACCTGATATATTTATTGAAAATATCTGCAAAAAGCATATTCTGCTTTGAAAATAACTTATTTCATTAATAATAATTTAAAATTTCTCTCAATATGAATTAAGAGTTATGTAATATTAACTACACTGCTGGCCAATTAAAATGCAACACCTGCAATATCTAGTCCTACATTGTGTTGCATTTTACTTGACCAGCAGTATATTTATTTCTGTATTTATTCTAAACATGTAATGCAAACAAATACAATTATTGTCATAGAAAAGAAGAAAATTAATTTTTAATGCATTTTTCTATTATAATTACTTTCTGACTATAATAAGCTAACAAAAATTGTTTTTGTTTAATTTCAATAAGCAAAAAAGGAAATATTATATAATTAATATTTTCTTTACATTAGAATAAATTGACTTTTTCAAGAAGCAAGACTATTAGTATGTTATTTCAAATATGTTCTTGTATCAGACATAAACAACAGAACCCCAATAAAATGATTGTTCTGCATTATCCAAAATCAAACCTGTAAGTGAATACACTACTATAATTCATAAAAGAAAGTCTGAAATGATATATATTACAAAATAATTTGATTCCATTATTTTTTATCATTTGATTTCAATGCAAATGTGATTTCAACAAATCATTCATATTAAAATGTAACTAAAGTAAAAATAATTTTAAGAATAAAAATTTGTAATATATTAGCTGTATAATAATTATGTAAAAATGTTGTTCTTTACAAGTGATTAAAGGTGCTACCATATAAATCTTTTACAATTCATAATTTTTAATCCAAAATGGCCTGGTCATCTGTTTTGAGATTTTGGTTATCATCAGTCCACATTACCTCAGATAAATAGGATTTTATTGTATTTTGATTTAATACTTGATTCAAATTTCTATCATATTTTCTGTAAAAACTCAGCAATTCTTTTCATATAATTCACTATTACATCACTATTACAAGATCAAAATTCATGTAACACTGCAAATAAATACCTATTTTTAAAAAAACAGCACAATGTTGTATACAGTAGAATAAACTTTTTCAAGATTTTGGTTTATCATCATCACATCTCAACAGTGAAAAATCAACTAATAAACTTGATATTACTGTTTATGATTACAAGATCTTTAACTTAATAAATCTTTTATCAATTGAATGTGTGAATATTAGATGTTATAAATGCAATCTATCTTAGTTACTATTACAAGTGACTTGATATAANCAAGATTATTAAAACAAAACTACATATAAGTTTAGTGAAATAAAATTGATTATTAAAAATGATAATCACACACAACACCAAATTTATACAAGTAATAAAAACATACTGTCTTTCAGCATTACTTTAGTTTAATATAAACAAAAATTGATTATTGAATATTATAAATTTTTTCAATTGTTATTTAAGATTTTTATTATATTATATATTGTTGTAAATAATCAAGTTATGTATTAATTTACTAGAATATAAAGGTATAAAATAAATCTTTGTTATAGGTTAATGATTTAATAAATGTTTTAATTCTTAAATCTTTGTTATAGGTTAATGATTTAATAAACGTTATAGGTTAATGATTTAATCAGACCAAAACTTTACCTGAATAAAAGAGGAGAGAATATACTTCCTAATACAGCAGCACCAGTTTCATTTTCTTCTTCATGACAAGTTACTTTGTGCAAAAACTGAGACAAATATTTAACAACAGTATAATTTTTAGGGGGAATATTTTGAAGACTTTGTTTTAAATTATGCATACATTCTTCTCTGTTTTGACCTAAGAATAATTTATTTGTTTATGAAATAAATTTAATAATTCAAAATCAAATTATTATTAGGCAAGTAAGTCAACCATGTTTTAATTTTAAAATATACAAGTTATGAACTAAAATTATTCTAACTAGGACATAAACTATTTGATATAGTTTTAATAAAAATGGATTGGACCAATAATTGTTCCAAAATAAAATATTTATTAATAAGAATGAAGTGATTATAATAAAACATGTAAAATTAATTAATTTATGATTTCAGTTACTTATTTTTAATTTTATGAAATAACAAATGAATGTTATAAAAATTTTGCATTACTTTACCTGGAAATTACTATACAGTATATACAAGGTGTAAAAATAAAATTAAGTGAATGCTCTTATATACAAATGCATGCAGGAAGTTGCAACATCATGCCTATTGTAGACTGATATGTCAAGGAACACATCTTAACATGGTGTACACCCACTTTTAATGAATGCATAGCTAAGCACAGCTCAGACAAATTATGGAGAAACACACATCAGGAAACAAAAATTGAGCAAAAAGTTAACATCAAGTCCTATTGCAAATTGGGCAAACTGACCTCAAAGATGTGTGAAATTTTGCAGCAGGTTTACAAAAAGTGTGTATGATTGGTTTGCATGCTTCTGCCATGGTAAAGAGTTATTAGGGAATGAGAGTCATGGTGAATGGCCCTTCAGTCAGAAACACTGACAATGTGTGCAATAGTTGATAGCAAAGGATTATCAACTAGCTGTTCAATTAATATCTACACCTTAATCAAGAACACTTTGTATGTTTCAACCCACATGATGTTCTTGATTGGTGCCACACAGCCAGACAGATAATTAGAAAAAGCACAGGCAACACAACTGCTACTTTTGCATAAAATTTACATTATTTCTATGAAAATAAAAATATGGTAAAACAAAAATGAACATTACTAAATATTTAAAATTTTAAACTTAAGTATGTGTTCAAATTTGTTTTAAATTGTGTATCTATGTTAGAAATTTACAATGCACATTTCTTTAAAGTTGTATGAATAATTTTTGAAGACTTCCATTAACCACATTTTTGTATTTCCATCACATTATCTGATGATATTGAGACTGAGAATGGAAGTTTTAATGCATAAGATAACTGTTACATTCCAAAGTTCAAACACTTTTGTGATATTTTGTCTAATATTTATTTTTAAAAAAAGCTAGTAATTATATTTTATTAGATTTCTGATCAAATTTGTCAAAGCCTCAATCTAAAATTTATTTCCTAACTATTCATATTCATCATTTATTGCACAACAGTGACATATATTTTCATCAATTCAAGTTATTGATCTATAGTAAGTGAAGAATACAAAACAGGAAGAAATTTAATTGCAAATATCAATTTTTTTATAATTTTTCAGAATACATTTTAAAACACAAATTTTATTGTAAATTAATACAAATGTCTAAATAGAATTTTATGAAATTTTGTATAGCTTTCATAAAATTCATTTTTACTCAGTAATAAATTTTTGCATAAATATTAAGAGAAAAATGGACACTTCAAAATTTTACATTATTTTTTTCAATTATTTTCAGATTAATCTTTGAAACTATTTAGATAAAACTCAAATAGTTAAATCAAACCCATGATTAAGTTTACAATATAATAAAAGCAAATTATACAAATAAAAACTTATCACTAAAAATTAGAATTGTAATTAGACTTTCGCAAATTGTTTTATATAAATCATTATAATTTCTTAGAAATACCGTAAGAAATGTAATGAAAAATTTAAGAATAAATTAATTTTTTCATTACTGAACTAGAAACAAAATTTAAAAAGCAAGTTCATTGTTCTTTGTTTACAATCAAAAAATGCTAGACTACTATACCTTTCTATTTTCAAAACACTTTGAAGAATTAAAATGTTCTCCATTTACATCTGTTTCTGGCTTGGAAATATTCACTTTTTCAGTTCCAAAGATATTATAGTAATCAGAAATAAAAAAAATAACAACTTTATCCATTAATAATCTTTGCTTGGTATCCAACTGTTTTACTCTGTAATATTATAAATTGTTACTTAATAAAAATTTGTTGAAACAAGATTATTAAAACAAAACTACATATAAGTTTAGTGAAATAAAATTGATTATTAAAAATGATAATCACACACAACACCAAATTTATACAAGTAATAAAAACATACTGTCTTTCAGCATTACTTTAGTTTAATATAAACAAAAATTGATTATTGAATATTATAAATTTTTTCAATTGTTATTTAAGATTTTTATTATATTATATATTGTTGTAAATAATCAAGTTATGTATTAATTTACTAGAATATAAAGGTATAAAATAAATCTTTGTTATAGGTTAATGATTTAATAAATGTTTTAATTCTTAAATCTTTGTTATAGGTTAATGATTTAATAAACGTTATAGGTTAATGATTTAATCAGACCAAAACTTTACCTGAATAAAAGAGGAGAGAATATACTTCCTAATACAGCAGCACCAGTTTCATTTTCTTCTTCATGACAAGTTACTTTGTGCAAAAACTGAGACAAATATTTAACAACAGTATAATTTTTAGGGGGAATATTTTGAAGACTTTGTTTTAAATTATGCATACATTCTTCTCTGTTTTGACCTAAGAATAATTTATTTGTTTATGAAATAAATTTAATAATTCAAAATCAAATTATTATTAGGCAAGTAAGTCAACCATGTTTTAATTTTAAAATATACAAGTTATAAGTTTTTGAAAATATGTATGTACAGGTAAATATGTTTTAAAATTACTCTAAATTTTTGTGCTTATAATTAACATACAATTTTCAGATTAATAAATTTATATTATCAAGTTTATCAATGATTATTAAAATTATGACTTTCAAAATATCGTTTTGAATTATATTCAGCTAACAAAATTTTAACAAAAGCTAATAATATTTCTTGTTTTCTAATATAGCTTCTCATTCCTCCATCTTTCAATTAGTTTTATACAATTAATGAAACACTAAACATAAATTTAATGTTATGGTCATTTTCTAGAAAACAGGCTCATAACAATAACAAAACATTTGATGATTATTTATTGAATTTCTTAACCAGAAAATAAAATGTGTAGCATCCTATAAATTCTGAAATTATTCAATGTAGAAATTGAAGATAACTGTTTAAACAACTAAAATTATTATTCAGTGACTTTTTTTTTGTTGAAAACTTCATTTGTAAGATTTAATTTTATTATTATTTTTACACTAGTCAGTTTCAGCAGTTTAATAAAAACTTAAAGTTTTTAATCTTTTAATAAAATATACTTTTATTTAAGAAATGTAAAAAGTAAATAAAGTTTTAACTGAAAGTCATAATATCAAATATAAGCTCAATAAAATATCAAATTATAAATATCCCTTACAAATAAAAGCAGTTTAAAAAATAATGATACAAATTTAAAGTTAATGATTCAGCATCAAAAATAAGTAAAATGAACAAGTATTTTCTCATATCAGTATTTATATTCAATAGAATTAAAATTTCTGTTGTCATATAAGTGATCCAGCTTAATATTTATTGTCTTAATTAGTAGAACAAACTGTACTGGTCATCAAAAACAAGAAAATTCTCCTGAAAAAGTTTCTACTAGGTATTTTGTTGCTTTCAAACAGAGAAACAAAAATTAATTGTACAAATATATTGATATCTACATTCTACAGAGTGCTTATTTTTCATGTTAAAACATTTTTAGTCTATACTACCTTTGGATCATTATGTTTTAGTGTCATATTTATTCCAATAGTTTTATTTTTCAAATAGCCATTTATATATAATATCTTACTTATACGCAAATATTTTAATTCTATATTTTTATGATTAAATGTCACTTTTAAATTGTTTAATTTCATTTAAATTCTAAAATAGCAAAAGAACATTACATTAACATCATTACAACTGCATAGTAAAATCAATAAATAAGTGTATAAAAAGCACAAATTACAAATTTCAAAACAATATGCACACACAGTAAAACATCAATAAATTTAATATTAAATATGATTCCTAATAAAACAGAAAATATACAGTTTTCAACATTAGGATGTATGAGTTTCAGATATCTTGCTTCCATACATAACACTTATATTCCTAAATTTGCTTTGCACATGCTAAATTTAAACTTTGTATATTTTCTACTAACAAGATTTTGGACTATTATGCAATGGCAATTTCTATTAATTAATTTTAGTTTTGATAACACCAAAATCATTCATCAAAACTAATTCTTATTGTCTTGTTTAATCTATGATATTAACACTTTTAAACAATGTTTTATGCAGAACAACATTTATTGTAAAAAAGTAAATCTTTCCTCTTCTAATAAAAGATTTAAAATTTTTTTTAGCTTTCTGAACTAGAACTCATTGCACAACTTTATTGCTAGACTTTTAGACATTTGATTTCTGTACAGATTATTAGACATGCATTAATTCCAAAATCAGGGAGTCTGTATATATTTCTATTTTATTATTTTTTTAATTTAATATTTTTAAAAATTTATATATGATAGCATCCTACAAACTCGACTTAACATGGACTGAGAAGATTACAAGTTACCGAAAATGATGAGTTTTACAGCATAGAAATGATGTTAGTATGAACAGCAGAATGTTTTCAAGAGATTATATGTGCAAATTTATGTGTGTTAACTATGCATCAATACTGACTATTTCCATTTATAGTTAGATTTTAATGTTAAAACATATTGGCTATTTAGTGGATACTTTTGAGTTAGTGACATTCATGTTGTGGTGTTTTGCAGTGTAACCTTGGCAACAAGACTATATTCTTTGTTCACGTGTGGAATTAATACTATTATCAAATGTTGCCAGTAAAAAACAACTTACTTGATCCTAGTGTAAAATTATATAGAGGTAAGAATTAAATTACATGTAATTTTTTTTTTTGAATAAGTGAATTTTTTTGAATAATGTGATGAGTTTTACAAAATGTTGATTTATTGAAAGTCGAATTTCTAGGACTACCGTATTTTTTAACTTTAAATTTTATCATACTTTAATAAAAGTTTTACCAATACAGAATGAAAAACATTAAAGATCTGAATATTCTCTTTAATGAAAAACAACTAAATGAAATACTGTATTTTCTTGATTCTAAGAAAACTTCCTTTTTCCATTTTTACTAGTCTGAAACAAAAATATGTCATACATTCATAATCCAAAACAACAATCAGAAGTCTTCACAAGTGGACACATGATGCATTATGCACCAATAATAGATTTTTTGCTGTACCACTTAAAAGTTACTTCAGTACAAATGAGCTTTGCTAATGGGTATTTAATTTAATCTCACTTAACATTTATAGTGTCTTTTAAGATGACATTATTATGAAGCAATAAAAATGCATCATTACATAAGCAGAAGAGCACAGAAATAGAAAAATGATACAAATGCCATTGACAGTTCTAACTTCTTGTTCTTTAATACAACTTAATATTTGTTTTACAAAGAGAAAAATCAAATAACTTTTAAAATTTGATTTTATACTTATGACTTGTTTTAAATTGAGAAAATACAGTAATCTCGTTAGTAAAAGAAATGAGATCTAATATTCTCAAATTAATAAAATTTCATTGCAATGTTTTTTGGCTAATGAAAATTTTCAACTTTCGTAAAGTAAAAATGCAATTTCAAATCTCTTAATTTTACTGTTGTCTAATTTAACTCAATCTGAATTTTTCAATCTTAAAATATAAGTTAGTATTCTCAGAATTTTGTTTTAATGAACTCATGTATTCATAAATTTATATATTCAATTTTTAGTAAATTTTTATGAAAAGAGACTGAATACAAAATTTTATAACTTTTAATGATAATCTATTTTGGTTTGCAAGTTATCTATACTACAGTTCTTTTCTCAGCTAAACATTTTATATTATAGTGTTTGTAGTGCTGAATGAAATTACATTAGAAATAAGGTTCTAACAGCTGGAAAATATAGATAAATCCATATTCAACTCTACTTAAAATTATCACCACCATTTAATCTTATTCTTAGTTTCTCACTATCATCACAATGTAACTTATAATTATAATTTTTCAATAATCATTTATAAATACATATAAATGTGTTAGTAAATTGATAAAATAACACAAAATATATATTAGATCCTGCTAACAATGAAAAACATGATTACAGTTCTCTTAATTATTGAAGGATTTATTAAACTCATATTTTACCAAAATAAAAATATTTTTCTGTTTCAATTAATTAAAGTTAAATAGTCATAAACCGAAAAGTTTGCCATTTAACATAGTAAACTACAATGCAACAGAAATTGAATTAATATATTGCTTTGACATTCATTATATTAAATCTTTTTTAATGTTTTGTTGTATTGTATTTTAATATTTTATATCTTTTTATTTATTAAAACATTATTTCTTATTGGACTTTCAATAAGAGTTTTATGTATCTGTTACTTATATTATTAATTGGAATTTTGTTATTAAAATCATTTTTCATATTAATTTATATTATCTTTGATTTCATTAATTTAAATTTTGGAAAGATAAAATTTATTTTAAAATTACTAAGAATTACTTTATGAAACATTTTAAATAAATTTATTTCACAAAAATTTTTCAATTATACATAATTTTATTGTAATTTAAAAATAATTTGTAATATATTAGGGTATTAATAACTTCAAAATTATGCAGATCTTTTCATTACTATGAAAAAGCAGCATAAAAACTAGTCTTATTTATTTGCCAAATTTGTAGTTTACATAGTTTCATTCTTGTTTCATTTGCAATAATTATGAGTTTCAAAATTTACTTTTACTTCTAGAACATTTTTATCATCATGTGAATGCTATTGAAACTAAAAAATTATTATAAAATAAATGAATTATTTTAAAAATTTCTAAATAATTTCATTATATTATGGCTTGGGTTATTTAATATTCATATCATGAATACAGCACAGGATTAGTGTACACATCAAGCTTACAAAATATAAAATTTAAAACATACCACTTAAAGCAGTTGTAAAAGCAGGTTGCATAGATGATGGTATAACTGGATCAGCTAACTCTAATAGAAATAATTTCAACAAATTTGCTGTTAATAAAACATTTCCTTCAGTTTCAAGAGGAGCATCTCCTACTTGGTCAAAACAAGATTTCATATACTCTATTTGCCTTTGATTACATTCTGAATTAAATAATCTTCGTTCACTTAAACCTAATACAAATAAAATTCAATTACAATTTACTTGTTCATGTCTTATAAACAATTTACTAGTCTAAATAAAATTATACAATAAAAATTAATAAGCAATGTTGATAAATAAAATAACATTTAAAATAAAAAAATTTTTGATGACTTCATAGTTAAAGGAAATTTAAAGAAATAAATTTAAATTATTTTCATTAAAATAAATCATTTTTATAAAGCATAACTAAACTGTATAAAAACATTATATTTTTAGTTATTAGAAATAATTAAAATTTGTAATATATCTTCTGATCTTAGAGCAGTAATAAGCTAAATTACAAACTTAACATTTAATAACTGATTTATTGATTTATTTTCCATATTTATTTATTAGATCTTTTCAATTCACAGATCTTAAAATAACTATTTAGTAAATAAATAAATTACATATACAAGATATACAAAAATAATTTTATTTATTTTTCAAGAAGCTGCAATATTTATTTAGTAAACAATGTAATTTTTTTAAAAATTTATTTTCAAAAATATCCAAACTTCATTTAAATTTGTGATATTAAAACTCTAGAAAGTAAATTTACTTTCCTTAGAGATTTATTAAATTTTGTTTTTTTTCCTTCTATTTCTCAATACATTAATGTGAATTATAATTTGTTTTTGACTACTACTAAGATTTCCTAAGAATTATTTAATAAATGTAAAAATTTCTGCTTACAATAGCCAAACTCATGAAAATTCCTATTTTTCATAAAAAATTTTGGAGATTAATTGGATATTTCTTTGATAATGAAAAAATTTTTTGACAGTAGCAATCTTTCTAAAGTTTATGCCATTCAACAACACAAAAGAATATTTCAGAAATTTCCAACATTTTCAAAAAGCCAACTTTGTGCTAATTTGATTGTAAATACTATACTAACAGAAGCAATTATTCCCAGCAAATTACAATGTTAGTTTATGGAAAGTTCTTGAAATGATTAATTTTATTTTTAATTCAAAACTTAAATTTTTTTTAACTATATACTTGCTTCTTGGCAATTTAAAAAGTTCTTGCCTAATATTAAATATATGATGCATTTGAAATCATGACATCATCTTGACTACATATACAGTTTAAAAATCTATAAAGTTTATTAAAAATTTTTAGAGCAGTAACTTCCATTTTTTTTAAAGCTTTTATCTATTTTAATCAAATATTTTACATAAACTTGCTTCTGAGCCAAAATATATATAACGCTTTTTTCAATAGTGATAAAATATTAAATGTTTTGATAATTTCTTTCTGTATTATCATACTGAAATTTTTTATATTACTAGATTTTGCTTATTACACATTAAGAAAATTTTTAACAATAAATAAATTTGTAATTGAATAGAACATAATAAAATAAGTTATTTAAAAAAATAAAAATAAATAGATATAAATAAGTAAATATAAAACAGTTATTGGATATATAGACATGAAATTTACATGAGGTTCTTAAAATTAATTCTTTAAAAGAAATTCCCAATAGTTTAAATCTTCGATAAGAGAGTAACTACTTTAATAAATAATACATTAATCAATCTAAATATGAGTGACTATGCTTTAAATTAAAAATTTTAACTCACAAACCAAAGAGAAAGAAGAAAATAAGACCTACTAAAGAATGTATTTTTTAAAATAACTAGAATATTATATTGTCTTACATTAACATAACTAGCAACAATCCTAAATTAAACTTTTATTGATTGAACTAGAAACACCAGTAGAAAACTTATTTCTTGTTTTGTTATAAATATATCAAAAAATATTTTTCAGGAGTCATAGCTTAACCTTGGAAGTTTAACTAAACTATTTTTGTGGCTAAATATCCTCAGAAGTATTTAAAAAACTGAAAGTTCTTAACTTCTAAAAAAATTATAGTTTTTTATAATTATTTTGATTAAGGAAATAAATAAAAAATATGTTATATTTCTTTCATTTCTTGTAAAATGAAAGATCTGGATTGAAAGACAGGTAAAAAGTACAATTTTGATAATGTAAATTACTTTTTTCCTCAATTAATTTGCTGAACAATATAGCAAAAAATGAATACTATTCCAATAAAGAGTTTCTGTTTATTGTAAGTATAAAATGTTTTTCAAGCCTTCCTGATTCATCTTCAGATACAACCTGGCTTTTATAAAATTTTATACATAAATAAACAGACCTCTAATGTTTTGGAACAGCGTTTACTTTTCTATATATGTAATATGGGGTTGGAAGAAGCTAATGATAATTGTTTAAAAATCTTATCTTTTAAAACTATTTTTAATAATGAAAAATCATTATAATAAAGAACTTAAAGTTTTTAATAAAATCTAGAAAATTAGTAATTGAATCTGTTCAAATAACAAAGCCTATTCTTTACATAATAATAATTTTCATTTATGTAATGAATTAGCATGAATTAATTTGAAATTAATTCATTATATAATTTCTTGTTATCAAATAGATTTTTGTTTTTAATTTAAAAAATTAAAAACAAAATGAAGATTGTTTTCATACTGTTTTAATTTTTGCTAATTATTATTCAAAAACAATCTATTATAGTTAAAGATTTAGTTTTTCATCTTGCATTTAATATTTCATTATTAGTAAAATTATATATAGTTAAGCAAAATATTATGATAAAGCATGAGAGAGAGAGAGAGTGTGTGTGTGCGTGCGTGCGTGCACACACGATTATCACTTCCTTATATACATATATATAAAATTTTAATCTGTCTAAATGATTTGAAACTGTTCTGTGAGTGTGATGAATTCAATCTAAAATTAAAATTATCATTTACAAAATACTAAATATTAGTATGTAGATATTCAATATGTGATGAAAACTTATACATTTCCATACACTTATGCAATTATAGATAAATAGATGAAAAATTAAAATTATTATTTTAAGAATTTTCAGGATAAAATTATGAATGAAATGATTATCTTGTTGTTAATTATTTCTTTACTATGCAAGTATTAAAAAACTATCATTGGCCCATCTATATATGGACAACATATATTACAGAATGTTGAACATATCATATGATGATAATATTAATGTAAATTTAATAAATATATTTGAACAGAGTTTGTACTTACTATGTGGAGAACAAATATATAAAATAATTAACAATTAATACTTTATTTCATTAGACATGCATCTTTGTTATGTTTATAATAAGTGTTACACCTGTTTACACTGATACTCATGTTTTAAAATAACAAAATTATGAATACAGAAAATACAATGGTATAAAAGTATTATACCATAATTCTAACTATTTTACATCACTTTCTCAAATTCAATTTTGGAAAATAAGTTTTCTTTATGTAAATAATTTATGACCAAACATTTTTGAAAGCTAAAAGAAATTAAAATGTCAATATATGAAGCTTATCAGTAGTTATTCAATATAAAGATGACATGTAAACCTAATGTAAATATAGAAGCAATAATGTTGACGATAAACACCTTCTACATAAAATTTATAGCATTAAAAAAGTTAATTACAATTGAAAATTTAATCAAAATTATATATGATATTTAAAATAATTATCAATAGAAGAAAAAAATTTAGAATTTTTCAAAATGTTAAACCAACTTTACCTTTCATTTCTATGAAAGTACATAGTCTATAAAGAACATAGGGTACTGCATGTTTACTTTTATCATTTTGTTCTTTCAAATCTCTTAATGATGATCCAAATATCTGATGCTGTAAATTAGACTTCTTTGAACATTGCTGATCCTGACTTCTTCCAGTTTCACAATCAGCATTCTGACTCTAAAAAATTTTTTTAAAGTATTATAAATAAATACTATGTTCTAAAAACTTTCTGACTAAAACAATGTTTAAACTAACAAGTTTAGTATGTTAATTAAAATAATATAAAACATCTATTTAATTTGAGAAATTTATTTCATATAATTTGAAGAACTATAATCTGTTACCTAAAGTAGAGATTCTTCTTGCTAACAAGTAGGACTATTGTAACTAAGAGCTTCACATTCTATAACTTCGTTCTGCTCCTGTTAATTACTTGTTACCAAGTAATTGATAATTGTTTTGTAATTAAGGTTTTTGAATTATCAATTAGTAATAAAGTATACTTAGTATGTGTATATTTATTCAGATATTCAGGTTAAAAAAAAATTGATGTGTATTCTTGAACAGTAGAATAGTAACACGATTGCTTCAAAATCATATGTAAACTGTATCGACATCAGAACCACCACACATTCATGAATATTAATGTGTAAATATTTATGTATGTATTATTATAGAAAAAAAATCAGGCCTGGGAGTGCCACTTCCCCTTTGAAAAAGTGAGAAAAGTGAGTTGAAATACAGAATAAGTGAGTAAAAAAGTGAGTGCAATACAAGTAGCCCTTGGTTTATGCTGGCTCAATTTATGCCGATTCACAATAACTCCGCTGCGCAATTCACCATTTCGCGGTGTAATTCCCCAATTTTCCCTATGCTAGACTGATTTTCATTTCAGTGTCGGCGTATTTACCGAGCCGCAACATTGTATATTAGTTACAAAAGATTTTCTGTTTAATATTATTGGGTATGCATACATTTGCATTAAATTAATATTAAAATACTNTTATGCATACATTCTTCTCTGTTTTGACCTAAGAATAATTTATTTGTTTATGAAATAAATTTAATAATTCAAAATCAAATTATTATTAGGCAAGTAAGTCAACCATGTTTTAATTTTAAAATATACAAGTTATAAGTTTTTGAAAATATGTATGTACAGGTAAATATGTTTTAAAATTACTCTAAATTTTTGTGCTTATAATTAACATACAATTTTCAGATTAATAAATTTATATTATCAAGTTTATCAATGATTATTAAAATTATGACTTTCAAAATATCGTTTTGAATTATATTCAGCTAACAAAATTTTAACAAAAGCTAATAATATTTCTTGTTTTCTAATATAGCTTCTCATTCCTCCATCTTTCAATTAGTTTTATACAATTAATGAAACACTAAACATAAATTTAATGTTATGGTCATTTTCTAGAAAACAGGCTCATAACAATAACAAAACATTTGATGATTATTTATTGAATTTCTTAACCAGAAAATAAAATGTGTAGCATCCTATAAATTCTGAAATTATTCAATGTAGAAATTGAAGATAACTGTTTAAACAACTAAAATTATTATTCAGTGACTTTTTTTTTGTTGAAAACTTCATTTGTAAGATTTAATTTTATTATTATTTTTACACTAGTCAGTTTCAGCAGTTTAATAAAAACTTAAAGTTTTTAATCTTTTAATAAAATATACTTTTATTTAAGAAATGTAAAAAGTAAATAAAGTTTTAACTGAAAGTCATAATATCAAATATAAGCTCAATAAAATATCAAATTATAAATATCCCTTACAAATAAAAGCAGTTTAAAAAATAATGATACAAATTTAAAGTTAATGATTCAGCATCAAAAATAAGTAAAATGAACAAGTATTTTCTCATATCAGTATTTATATTCAATAGAATTAAAATTTCTGTTGTCATATAAGTGATCCAGCTTAATATTTATTGTCTTAATTAGTAGAACAAACTGTACTGGTCATCAAAAACAAGAAAATTCTCCTGAAAAAGTTTCTACTAGGTATTTTGTTGCTTTCAAACAGAGAAACAAAAATTAATTGTACAAATATATTGATATCTACATTCTACAGAGTGCTTATTTTTCATGTTAAAACATTTTTAGTCTATACTACCTTTGGATCATTATGTTTTAGTGTCATATTTATTCCAATAGTTTTATTTTTCAAATAGCCATTTATATATAATATCTTACTTATACGCAAATATTTTAATTCTATATTTTTATGATTAAATGTCACTTTTAAATTGTTTAATTTCATTTAAATTCTAAAATAGCAAAAGAACATTACATTAACATCATTACAACTGCATAGTAAAATCAATAAATAAGTGTATAAAAAGCACAAATTACAAATTTCAAAACAATATGCACACACAGTAAAACATCAATAAATTTAATATTAAATATGATTCCTAATAAAACAGAAAATATACAGTTTTCAACATTAGGATGTATGAGTTTCAGATATCTTGCTTCCATACATAACACTTATATTCCTAAATTTGCTTTGCACATGCTAAATTTAAACTTTGTATATTTTCTACTAACAAGATTTTGGACTATTATGCAATGGCAATTTCTATTAATTAATTTTAGTTTTGATAACACCAAAATCATTCATCAAAACTAATTCTTATTGTCTTGTTTAATCTATGATATTAACACTTTTAAACAATGTTTTATGCAGAACAACATTTATTGTAAAAAAGTAAATCTTTCCTCTTCTAATAAAAGATTTAAAATTTTTTTTAGCTTTCTGAACTAGAACTCATTGCACAACTTTATTGCTAGACTTTTAGACATTTGATTTCTGTACAGATTATTAGACATGCATTAATTCCAAAATCAGGGAGTCTGTATATATTTCTATTTTATTATTTTTTTAATTTAATATTTTTAAAAATTTATATATGATAGCATCCTACAAACTCGACTTAACATGGACTGAGAAGATTACAAGTTACCGAAAATGATGAGTTTTACAGCATAGAAATGATGTTAGTATGAACAGCAGAATGTTTTCAAGAGATTATATGTGCAAATTTATGTGTGTTAACTATGCATCAATACTGACTATTTCCATTTATAGTTAGATTTTAATGTTAAAACATATTGGCTATTTAGTGGATACTTTTGAGTTAGTGACATTCATGTTGTGGTGTTTTGCAGTGTAACCTTGGCAACAAGACTATATTCTTTGTTCACGTGTGGAATTAATACTATTATCAAATGTTGCCAGTAAAAAACAACTTACTTGATCCTAGTGTAAAATTATATAGAGGTAAGAATTAAATTACATGTAATTTTTTTTTTTGAATAAGTGAATTTTTTTGAATAATGTGATGAGTTTTACAAAATGTTGATTTATTGAAAGTCGAATTTCTAGGACTACCGTATTTTTTAACTTTAAATTTTATCATACTTTAATAAAAGTTTTACCAATACAGAATGAAAAACATTAAAGATCTGAATATTCTCTTTAATGAAAAACAACTAAATGAAATACTGTATTTTCTTGATTCTAAGAAAACTTCCTTTTTCCATTTTTACTAGTCTGAAACAAAAATATGTCATACATTCATAATCCAAAACAACAATCAGAAGTCTTCACAAGTGGACACATGATGCATTATGCACCAATAATAGATTTTTTGCTGTACCACTTAAAAGTTACTTCAGTACAAATGAGCTTTGCTAATGGGTATTTAATTTAATCTCACTTAACATTTATAGTGTCTTTTAAGATGACATTATTATGAAGCAATAAAAATGCATCATTACATAAGCAGAAGAGCACAGAAATAGAAAAATGATACAAATGCCATTGACAGTTCTAACTTCTTGTTCTTTAATACAACTTAATATTTGTTTTACAAAGAGAAAAATCAAATAACTTTTAAAATTTGATTTTATACTTATGACTTGTTTTAAATTGAGAAAATACAGTAATCTCGTTAGTAAAAGAAATGAGATCTAATATTCTCAAATTAATAAAATTTCATTGCAATGTTTTTTGGCTAATGAAAATTTTCAACTTTCGTAAAGTAAAAATGCAATTTCAAATCTCTTAATTTTACTGTTGTCTAATTTAACTCAATCTGAATTTTTCAATCTTAAAATATAAGTTAGTATTCTCAGAATTTTGTTTTAATGAACTCATGTATTCATAAATTTATATATTCAATTTTTAGTAAATTTTTATGAAAAGAGACTGAATACAAAATTTTATAACTTTTAATGATAATCTATTTTGGTTTGCAAGTTATCTATACTACAGTTCTTTTCTCAGCTAAACATTTTATATTATAGTGTTTGTAGTGCTGAATGAAATTACATTAGAAATAAGGTTCTAACAGCTGGAAAATATAGATAAATCCATATTCAACTCTACTTAAAATTATCATCACCATTTAATCTTATTCTTAGTTTCTCACTATCATCACAATGTAACTTATAATTATAATTTTTCAATAATCATTTATAAATACATATAAATGTGTTAGTAAATTGATAAAATAACACAAAATATATATTAGATCCTGCTAACAATGAAAAACATGATTACAGTTCTCTTAATTATTGAAGGATTTATTAAACTCATATTTTACCAAAATAAAAATATTTTTCTGTTTCAATTAATTAAAGTTAAATAGTCATAAACCGAAAAGTTTGCCATTTAACATAGTAAACTACAATGCAACAGAAATTGAATTAATATATTGCTTTGACATTCATTATATTAAATCTTTTTTAATGTTTTGTTGTATTGTATTTTAATATTTTATATCTTTTTATTTATTAAAACATTATTTCTTATTGGACTTTCAATAAGAGTTTTATGTATCTGTTACTTATATTATTAATTGGAATTTTGTTATTAAAATCATTTTTCATATTAATTTATATTATCTTTGATTTCATTAATTTAAATTTTGGAAAGATAAAATTTATTTTAAAATTACTAAGAATTACTTTATGAAACATTTTAAATAAATTTATTTCACAAAAATTTTTCAATTATACATAATTTTATTGTAATTTAAAAATAATTTGTAATATATTAGGGTATTAATAACTTCAAAATTATGCAGATCTTTTCATTACTATGAAAAAGCAGCATAAAAACTAGTCTTATTTATTTGCCAAATTTGTAGTTTACATAGTTTCATTCTTGTTTCATTTGCAATAATTATGAGTTTCAAAATTTACTTTTACTTCTAGAACATTTTTATCATCATGTGAATGCTATTGAAACTAAAAAATTATTATAAAATAAATGAATTATTTTAAAAATTTCTAAATAATTTCATTATATTATGGCTTGGGTTATTTAATATTCATATCATGAATACAGCACAGGATTAGTGTACACATCAAGCTTACAAAATATAAAATTTAAAACATACCACTTAAAGCAGTTGTAAAAGCAGGTTGCATAGATGATGGTATAACTGGATCAGCTAACTCTAATAGAAATAATTTCAACAAATTTGCTGTTAATAAAACATTTCCTTCAGTTTCAAGAGGAGCATCTCCTACTTGGTCAAAACAAGATTTCATATACTCTATTTGCCTTTGATTACATTCTGAATTAAATAATCTTCGTTCACTTAAACCTAATACAAATAAAATTCAATTACAATTTACTTGTTCATGTCTTATAAACAATTTACTAGTCTAAATAAAATTATACAATAAAAATTAATAAGCAATGTTGATAAATAAAATAACATTTAAAATAAAAAAATTTTTGATGACTTCATAGTTAAAGGAAATTTAAAGAAATAAATTTAAATTATTTTCATTAAAATAAATCATTTTTATAAAGCATAACTAAACTGTATAAAAACATTATATTTTTAGTTATTAGAAATAATTAAAATTTGTAATATATCTTCTGATCTTAGAGCAGTAATAAGCTAAATTACAAACTTAACATTTAATAACTGATTTATTGATTTATTTTCCATATTTATTTATTAGATCTTTTCAATTCACAGATCTTAAAATAACTATTTAGTAAATAAATAAATTACATATACAAGATATACAAAAATAATTTTATTTATTTTTCAAGAAGCTGCAATATTTATTTAGTAAACAATGTAATTTTTTTAAAAATTTATTTTCAAAAATATCCAAACTTCATTTAAATTTGTGATATTAAAACTCTAGAAAGTAAATTTACTTTCCTTAGAGATTTATTAAATTTTGTTTTTTTTCCTTCTATTTCTCAATACATTAATGTGAATTATAATTTGTTTTTGACTACTACTAAGATTTCCTAAGAATTATTTAATAAATGTAAAAATTTCTGCTTACAATAGCCAAACTCATGAAAATTCCTATTTTTCATAAAAAATTTTGGAGATTAATTGGATATTTCTTTGATAATGAAAAAATTTTTTGACAGTAGCAATCTTTCTAAAGTTTATGCCATTCAACAACACAAAAGAATATTTCAGAAATTTCCAACATTTTCAAAAAGCCAACTTTGTGCTAATTTGATTGTAAATACTATACAAACAGAAGCAATTATTCCCAGCAAATTACAATGTTAGTTTATGGAAAGTTCTTGAAATGATTAATTTTATTTTTAATTCAAAACTTAAATTTTTTTAACTATATACTTGCTTCTTGGCAATTTAAAAAGTTCTTGCCTAATATTAAATATATGATGCATTTGAAATCATGACATCATCTTGACTACATATACAGTTTAAAAATCTATAAAGTTTATTAAAAATTTTTAGAGCAGTAACTTCCATTTTTTTTAAAGCTTTTATCTATTTTAATCAAATATTTTACATAAACTTGCTTCTGAGCCAAAATATATATAACGCTTTTTTCAATAGTGATAAAATATTAAATGTTTTGATAATTTCTTTCTGTNGTGAATTGTTTTTAAGGATTGCTTATGGTGTAGAAATGGCAAAAGGATAGACAGAAGCAAGGTTTTTTTACCTTTGTGAATATGTCGTTTTGTATTTATACACTTATTAAATAAAAAAATAATCACTTTAAATTGTTTAATTACAGAGTGCTCAATTAAGAACTACTTTGTCATTTGAGAGAAATTTTTTAACCTTCCTGAATATTTTTGTAAAATACAACTCTATACAAAAGAGTTGTATAGAGGATCAAAGGACAAAGGACTAAATTCATTGACAGTATAACATAAGTAAGTATTCAATGTACTGTACATAATCACTAATTAACAAAAAACATGTAATTGTCAGTACTGTCAAAGCTTGCAGCATCTGGAAAGGCAATATTCTATAGACTAATGGCATAGTCTTCTATACATTTTTATGACCCTTAAAATAAATGATGTAAACTCCACCATTGCTGGGTACTTCAGCCATTATATTAATTTAATGTAATATAATATATTAAGCTGTACTAAGGAAATTATCTTATAAAATTTGCAAACATTACAACTCATGATTTGATAGTACAATTAAAGAGGGCAGTTGATATTTGCCCAAAATGCATTTTGTAGAAAACCCATAAAAGAAAATAAAGATAAAAGAAGCAGTATAAAATAGATACATGCCATTTATTGAAGAAGATCAGTATAAAATATTGTTCCAATACAGTTATAAAACATTGTACCAATGTACCAATATTATACAAAAATACTGGTATAAAAACTCAAAACATCTCAATACTGAAGCAATACTAGAAAACAAAATGGAAATAATATTGAAATACTGTATTGAATTACAGTATTTCAATATTATTTCCATTACAACCTTAGCCCAATATTTCTGTGATGCTGAGAAATGATGAATATATTCTCATTTCTTTTAAAGGGAAGAGAGTATTTTATCATAACTATTCTACAAACAATAAACAAGCATTAGATAAATTGCATGCAAAACATTAAAATTATTATTAAGAATATTTTAAATTTAAAATCTCATATGAAAAAATATTACTTCTGTTCTATGAAATACATAAATTATCAACATAATTTTTGTAACATTGTATTTCAGATGTATAAATCATTTTTCAGTTTACATGCCTTAGAAAGATCAACAGATTATGAATTTAATATTAAAAATAAAATATTCTCAGTTGCTAAATCCCTCTTTTTTTTTTAAGGTAATGTAACAGCACTACATATCTCTAACCAGCAATTCTCAAATCATTACATACTGAGGCCAAATGCATTTTCCTAATTTTTTATTAACTAATAAAACAAACTTTAAATGAATCACTACAAGTCTGTAAAGAAGATTTAATGATCTAAGAAAATTACAATTCAAAGCAATCTTATCTATTTTTAAAAAAACTTACAATCCATTTTATGATAAACAGATACTTTTATTACTGATGTTATATTTATACATACCTATGTTGAAGCATTCTGGCTAAATTATTAAGTTTGTACTATTAAGTTAAGTACTATGAAACTTGCATGTATAACAAAATATGCAATCTGATTTTATTAATTTATTTCTGTATATAAAAAATTTATTTATATATATATATATTGGTTTTTACATTGTAAATTATGTAACATATGTTAAATTCATATCTAAAAAGCTTCAAATATTTCAAAACTCATATTTTTTTAATCTAAACACTATTAGAATTCTTTCAAGATATATATCACAAAAGAACACTTTGCTTTTATCTTTCTTTACAAATCAAAAATTATCATCTTTTTATTCAGATCTTTTTTACTTTCTTTACTGTTTGAAAAATTGAATATATTAATAAATTACATCCCATATTTTTTTGAATAATTGTTGAAAGCCAATTAAAAGTACAGTGTACCTCAGTATATGTCTGCTTTAAAATACGTCCTGTTTGGATGAAACAAATTTTGCTCGGTATATGACTTTTGTTCAGTATACGACTTAAATTCAATTATACGCGCTATCTACAAACAAGTAGTACTATCGATGTACTAGACCAGACTAGATGTTCATGGTGCCACGGTTTATAACTTTGTTAAATTTCTTTTTATTTTAATATGTAAGTAAAATGTTGTTATTTTTATTAATCATGAATTGCAAAAAGGCAACAGAAAAATAAAAAAAAATGACTAGAATCACAATGGAACTGAAAAAAGAGATTGTTGAGAAATATGAAGGTGTGTTCGAGATTTTAACTGTTTCATACCGTATTCCGAGAACGACGATATTGACAATCGTGAAAAATAAAGGCATTATTAAATTTGCTAACGTTGCAAAAGGGGTTAAATCAATTTCTAAACAGAGATCGAAGACATTAGATCATGTCAAGAAATTGCTTTTGCTTTGGATAACTGAAAAACAGTGCGCTGGAGACAGCATATCGGAAGCAATTATTTGCGAGAAAGCTAAAAAGATACATGCTGATCTCATGAAAAATCAAGCAAGAACTAGCTAGGAAAGCGAGGTGTTTAAAGCCAGCCATTTTTTTTTTTTACATGAAAATGGATTAATCATTTTTACATTACTTCTTATGGGAAAGGTTGGTTTGGTATATGTCCTATTCGGTATAAGTCCAAACACCAGGAACGGATTAAGGTCGTATACCGAGGTTCCACTGTACTTATAAAATTACTTTAGTGTTTTTAATTTGTTACTTTAATATTAAATTTTAAAAAAATTAATCATGCATCTGATTGTTTTCATATACAATTAATAAATAAATATAATTGTTAATTGTCAGAATTATTGATAGAGAATATAATTAATCTATTAAGTCAGTTTTAAAATATTAAAAGTTAAACATTTTTTTATTATGCAACAATGAAGAAATCCATTTATATCTATTTGACACATTAATTATATAATTAAGAAATAAAATGTGTAATCAAATTTTAATGACTACTCATTAACAAAAATTACAGCACAAACTTTTTCTATAATATAAATTCACATACTTGATATCAATATATTTCATAACAATTTCTATTAAAACAATTTAAATTCAATTATCTTCAATTTTTTAATTACATAATTAAATTACTATACACAGTTACCTCTGACAGAGTTGTCATTTCTATAACATTAACTTGAGCACAAGAAGGATTCCGCATTCTTTCCCATAAGCAGCTGACTAATCCTGATACTACAGCTGCAAGGGAATGTGGTACCCTAATAAAATAATGAGATATTTAAGAATTTTTTAAATTATTAAGTAAATATATTTTATATAAATATAAAATATTTGTATGAATATAAGTAAACATAATAAGACCATTACATACTCATTAACTCAAGCATTTATCTTATATAAAGAAGCTGAAAAGAACAGAACTAAATAATTAATTTATCATAGATACAGTTTAAAATTAGAATTAATCTAAAAAGGACTACATCAAATTTTCTCATCATCAACCATTATTTTCATTTTTTTAAATACACCCTCATTGGCAAAGTTATGCACAAGATAGAATTGCCTGATTATTATACATCTACCTCTCAGATAAGCATGTAAGATTAAAGTTAAGATCTGACTGTATGCCAGATAATGACAACAGTTTTAAATTACTGCTCTATATCCTATAAAAATGATCACAAAGGTTCAGGTGTTCATTTATTTGAACACAGTGAGATACTTTCAATGTACTGTAGAATCTTGCTTTAACAGATCACCTGGACTATCAAAAATCATCTGTTGATCTGATAATCCACTGTATCATGAACAACAATTTCCTGCACAAGCAGGAAAATATTCATTATTTGAAAAAATTTCCATTTTAATCCTCTACATAAAAGATATACCTGTACTTGAAATTATTCAGTCTTTTGAGATCTCCATCCTTTATTCTATAGAAACACACATTACAAGATCATATACAGCAGAGTCCCATACAATGAGGAGATATGTATATGTTCTGCATTATAAAAAATCCTGTTATCGAGACATGAATTATCAAACAATTTTATGCAAGTTTAAACATATGCCTAGAAGCTGAAAATATATACCTCTGGATGACAAAATTAGAATTTTGTATGAGTACTAATCACAAGTTTTTTGGTCATGTTATACAAATTCACATTATAGCGGAGAGCATTATACATGCATTCACTGTATTATGCCATGCATGTGTACAACAAAGCTGACAAAAACTATATATACTGTAAGCACAAAAAGAGGCAAAGTACATATACTCATTAGCACTTCATTTGACTTCATGATCTGTTTTGATGATGTATTCAATCAGCAGAAAAGCCACAACTGCTTGATATTAACAATCTTATGTACATGTTATTCGTCTAAGCAGAAACTTGTCAGGAAGGCCTTCATGATTTGGAAAGACTCAATTTGCTTTGCTAAATTTCAACACTATATTAGTACAAGCATCAGAATATTCACTAAGTGGTTCTTCCTCAATAATATAAGTCTGCTGACTCTCTTTGTACAATCTTCAAATACCAGACATGTCTGTACAATGCCATCAAAGAAATTACACACAGCTGACAAAATTTGAAAAATATTACATCATCAGGCTAAGAGAAATAGAATAGCCATTTCACAAAATTGCCTGCCATCTGGGCTGTTCTATCCTGACTATGAGGAGGTGGTGGTATTTAAGCAGTGGATATGTAAGCCTGCCTGCTATGTATGCAAACACACACAGCAGGCAGGATGTTCCAGACACAACAGCAACAGAAATGATCTGATCATGTCATAAGCACAAACAGTTGCAAAAGTATCTTTGTTCACTATCTAGAGACAGCTGAAAGCCTTGCTACAGAACCCTATCTCTTCTGTACCATTGGCAAGCAACTAACAGAGGCAAATTTGTATGCATGTTTCCTTTAGTACCTCAACATTGTTGACTTTGTTTTCAGTGGTATCATGATAAAGAAACATGGACTGCTATGAACTGACAGCATATCTTTAACATTAAATTTCAGTTTTGTTTGAGGACATATGACCACTGTGTTGGTATGGAGGACCACTAGTCATATCTTCAATCTTTACTATTGGGCAGCACATTCCCCCATGTTGGTATGCTAGTCTGAGGTGCTATCTTATAAAAGTTGATTACCCCTAGTACTGAAACAAAGGACATTTATGGCATAGTAACATGCTTAGGAAATCCTACACCCTAATTTGTTGCCTTTCATGCATGATGGCAGGACTGCAAACAGCCATTTTCCAGCATGATAATGCCTGGATGTTTTTCAGACTAGGGTTTTTCAGGAATGTCTATTACATTGCCATACTTACTTGGCATGCCTGATCTCCAGATTTATTGCCCATTGAGTATTTGTGAGATCAGACAGGACTCCAGCTTCACCATTTACAAGAATGAGAGATCTACAATAGCAGTTGTAGATCTATCATCATCTGTGAGCAAATCTATTGCAGGATAGAATATGGTGCTTGTAAGTCTCCATGCATGACACTATCACCACATATATCCTGGAAGAAGAGATCCTACAGGATACTAAAGATTTATTTAAATTATACCATTGTTCTGAGGAAACTGTACCATTGTTATGTTATTATAATATCTTACTAACATTTTGTTCATGTTAATAAAAACTTTCATTAAATTCAAATGCCTCCTTAGTACATAAACTTTTTCATTAACGATTATATTGAATCATTGTTTCAGTACTAATACTATTATTAAAATTACATTTAAAATTAAATATTTTAATTTAGAAAGTTAATTGTGTAATTCATTCTTAAAATAAGAGGAGCTTGTGATATTTATGATAAATCTACCAGTTTTATTAACATATAGGCTAATAGAATTGATAGATTATATAGTTATACAGGAAATTCTTGTTAATATGAACTCAGTTCAAAATCCTGTTAGTTTGTAACTGTACTTTTGTCTCTGCTGCGGATAGAGAGATTTGCATGTTAAGGAATTTGATTAATTCAAAATACAGCTACTTTAAAATTCAAAGTGAAAGTTCTCTCTGAACTTTGATTTAAACAATTAGTTAACATACTCTTATCAAAGTGTCTCTATAAGAGAACAATAGACCAAGAACAGTTATGCTACCTGGACCTTTTGTCCAATCTCCTCTTCCAGTATATTTAAAATTATGATATAACCATTACTATGGTGCCAACTGTAGATGCATTCAGCACCCTTGTTCCGTAAACTCCCACATAAGGCATTCAGCCGGCCATTGCATTCCCAGCAAGGCATATATATAAATATAAACATCTTACTAAACTCAATACATTGCAATAACACACCTTCAACTGCTGTCTTCCAGCTTATTCTAAAATTATTTAATTATATCGAGAACAACTCTAATCTGGTCAATATGACTTTGAATTTACAGTAATGCATTTTTGGGTGTCACCTTATCCATGGACTAATCTTTTTCTCTCTCATCTCATAAAATACAACTGGATTTTAGGATTGCTAGATTGGGCTATGAGTAGCAGAAAGATATTTGTAGGGCTCTAGGCTACTACATTTGGGCAATGTATTACTTTTTGGGCTACTTTAAAAATAATTTGGGTGACATTTTGAAGAATTCTACTACTTTACTTTTTATAAAACCTATCTGGCAACCTATGAGGTTCTCATCGGACACTTGGCTGTTTACCTTCACATTTATATTATTATTATGTTGGGTTTAGTGGGTTTTACTCGGTTCACACCGGTGGCTGTGTACTATGCTGGACCAGAGTCAAGGCATAGCAACCAAAACAAAACTAAAATTAAATAAGTGTGTCAGTGTCTGTATTCAGGAATTTCCTAACAATGTGGCATGTATTCAATATAGTGGCCTTCTGTAGTGTTATGTATGTATTTCTACTCAATTCTAATGTTCCCAGGCTTTTGTGTAGTGTGTGTGGTATCACACCTGTACAGGAAAGAACAACAGGTACAATAACTACCCTATCCATCCTCCATAGATGCCTTATTTCCTGGGCAAGTTCTGTGTACTTGCTAATTTTTTCAGTGCATGTGTTTTGTACATTGTGAGTGTTTGGAATGGCTATGTCTATAATGTATGTGATTTTATTGTGTTTGTCAATGAGTGTGATGTCTGGTCTGTTGTGGTAAATTGTTTTATCTGTGATTATGGCTCTGTCGTAGTACATTTTGTGCGTGTTGTTTTCCAATACTGTCTGTGGAATATACTTGTAGTATGGTTCGTGGATGTCTGCCAATTTGTGTTTCTTTGCAAGCTCTTGGTGTATTATATTTGCTACTTGATTGTGTCTATGTAAGTAATCTGTCTGTGCCAAGAGCTTGCAACCAGAAGTGATGTGTTGTATAGTTTCTGGCATGATGTGACATTTTCTGCATGTGTCATTTGTGAGTGTTGTATCTTTGAGTATGTGTTTTCTGTAGTTTTTAGTATTTATGACCTGATCCTGTATGGCAATCATGAATCCTTCCGTCTCCCCAAAGAGGCATCCCCGATCTAACCAGCTGTTTGACGCAGTTTTGTCAACAAAATCCTGGGCCAGGTCGTAAGGATGCCTGCCATGGAGAGCCTTTTGAGCCCATGATTGCTTAATGTTGTCTATGCTTTTTATATGTTGTGTCATGTCTGTATGTTGTGAGTGTAAGTTTAATGGTGTGTTATTTGAGTCTGCTAGAGTTACTGCTTTATGTAACTGTGATGTTTCTTGTTTCTTGTAGAAAAACTCTCGCAGTGACTGTATTTGTTTGTAGTGAAGGTTAACTATGTCAATCAGGCCACGTCCGCCTTCTTTACGTGGAAGGGTTAATCTTTCTGTGGCGGATTTAGGATGATGTTGTTTATGCTTAGTAAGTGTTGTTCTTGTTTTCCTTTGGAGTTGCTCGAGATCTGTGTGAGTCCAATGTATAACTCCAAAAGAGTATGTGAGTACTGGGATGACATATGTGTTTATTGCTTTAACTGTGTGTTTTGCATTTAACTGTGTTCTAAGTATAGCGTTTAACCTACTTTGGTATTCTTTAATTAATCGTTGCTTTATTTGTGTATGTTCTGTTAGTTTGGCCTGTTGGAATCCTAAGTACTTGTAGAACTCGCCCTCTTCCATGGATTCAATAACGTCTCCATTTCCAAGTGCAAAATCTTCTTTCTTCAGGATTCCTTTTTCTATGTGAAGTTTTTTGCATTTGTCTAAGCCAAACTCCATTTGTATGTCCTTAGTGTATGAATGTGTGATTTGTAGGAGTTGATGAAGTTGTTTTTGTG